CAAGCAATAAATTAAATAAGCTAAAAATAAAAAAGAAGAGTTGGAGTTCGATGTAATTTTATGGAGTTCACACGCAATTTTATTCAAATTTCAATGATCTCAGTTCATTTATCCATTTTATGAACAGAAATACATCACCTCTTCGTCTATATCATCACCACGTATCCATCATTATAATCCGCCATGTCATCACTAAAACAGTGTTGGTTCGAACTTGAGACCTTCTCCATGCGTGCTGAAACTTTTGCCAGTTGAGCTAAGAAGCATCTACAAAATTTTTATGCACAAATAGATATATATTTCTAATATTTCTAATAAAAAATATAAATATATCTAATAATATTATATACATAATTTAATATATATTATATAATATAATATATTATTAGTTATTTGAATTTAATTTTTATATTTTAGTAAAAAATTCTAATAATTTATATTTTTATTCAAATATTTAACAAAATATTAAGCACATTATATATTTTTATTTTTATTTTTTTATAATATTTTTTTTTTTTAATTTTTATATAATATATTATTTACAAATTATGATATATTATATTTTAATTTAGTAATAAGTTTAAAAAATAATTACTATATATTTATATTATATTTTTTGTGACAAATTAGTGATGGAATTGCGACGGAAATTAGTAATGAAAAAATTTGTCAATAATTCTATCACAAAATGTTTTGTGATAGGATTTAGTAACAGAAATTGGTGACAGAATTTTTTTTAACTAATCTTTTAAAACAGAATTAGCAATGAACTTATGACAGAATTTAGTGATGGAATAAAATTCCGTCACTAATCCCTTATTTTTTTGTAGTGTTTGGTGAATCATTAGTGAATGGAAAGATTGAAACTGATATTTGGAAGAAAACTTCAGAAACATGATGGACGGGACTTCAATATGTCACATATTTTTATATATATATATGTATATATATATTTTTTTTTAATCATTTCTTTTTTTTTTATCGAAAAAAAAGTGAAGTAAAAGTAAAACACAATGACTTCTCTTTTACTAAAAAGTGAATTGTTAACCAACGGGGTTGGTCCAAGTGGTAAGGGGCTTGGTACAGCTTAAACGAGGTCTCGAGTTCGAGTCTCAGTGTATGCAGAAATCCCTTTGGGAGATTCACCCACCACAGCCAGGTGCGCGACCCGGCGGATTCAGATGTAGTCGGAGCAAAGCTCCGATAAACTGGGTGGGCAACCTAAAAAAAAGGTGAATTGTTATGAAATCCCAAGTAAACTAAACAATTCTAGTGAAACAGAGTAATATGCAATAGTAAATTTTAACTAGTAAATGACAATTGTTTACTTGTTATTAAAAGTTATTAATAAATTTGTTTTTAAAACCTCATTGTAATTCTCTCTGTACTAAAGGTCTTCTCCATTTTCAAAACAAATGCTATATTCCAATTTTTAATGCAACATTCCACTAAAGATTCCAAAATACTTAATTTTATTACTTGTTGTTATGTGAAAATTTTAAATTTATTAATTTTCCCTGATAATATAATTGCCTCCTCTCTCTTTTTTTTTTTTCAATTCTTTGATATTTTGGAAAGTTATGTGCAATTTTTTTTTCCAAAAAGAAGACGCAAACTTAAATTTTAGGCGACACTTAAAAATTTGCAAATTTTTTTATCCTCGTCTTAGCTCCAAAAACTCTCTATGTAAAACAGATTTATGATGCAAAAATGAATATTTATTCCAATATAATATATATAATTGAACTCAAGATATATATAATTACATATATAATTGAACTCAATATATAAAGAATACATTAATTTTCTCATTTCAAAGCCTAAATAAAAAAATATTTGATTTATGTGTGAATTATTTGCAAACATTCTCATTTGAAATGAAAAACAACCCCAAAATGAAAGTTTCAAAATTTATATGATTGTGTGCAGTTTCTTTGTAACACCACAAGTCATTGATATTGTTATAATACAAACTGAACAGAAAAGGTCTAAATGGTAATTTGCAGGATATTTTTCTTATTTCAAAAGCTAAAAGTTGTATTTCTAGAAAACCTCTAATTGAATGAAAAAAGAAATCCTTTAATTTGTTGTTTAAGCGACTTTTATGATTTTGAAGCGTTTCAAACGATTTGGCTGTGGAAATTGAATAAGAATGAAAAATGATATGAAAATAAATGTACTAATATTCCAGTTTTTCCTGAAAAAGATGGAAAGACTTGGAAGTATTAGAAGACTTGACCAATAAAAAAAAATATGGTTATAGATTTTTTTGGCCATTTAAATGTTTGCGTACTTTTTCCAATATTTTCTAATAAAAACACTTTATTTGTCATGATTTTCATTTTCACAACTTCCGTATATCGTGACCATATAATCTAAATAAATCATGATGACGGTTTCATTTTGAAAATTTCATTTGTTTTGTTTATTTGAACATGTAATATAATATAAATTTGAGAAGTATATAATTTTGTGGTGTGTTGGGACTAAAGATAATGAATGAATGCTTCCTGCAATATTTTTTTTTGGCCAAACCTACATTATGTGTACATATATAATTTATTCGAAATAGAGTTAAAGAAAACATAAATGATTAAATTTATACGTCAGTTAAATATTTCGTATTTTTGTTTATATATATATTTATATATTTATATGTATCCACTCACGTGTATTCGGAAGGCATGTGCATAGGAAAGGAAAGGAGAAATAACTAGCAATAAATAAGCTAAAAAGAAAAAAAGAAACAGAACAATATTTATATCAAGTTATTTATATTCATCATGTTCACTGCCCAAATCATACATAGTGATGTGTCTTATTTTTAAAATATTAGTATTTAGTTACAAAATTCACATAAAACAAAAATAGATACATGCTTTCGAGAACTTTATATAATGGATATAAACAACTTGACCTAAGTTTTTCACAAATAGCACAAAATATGGAGTTCAAAGAGCCATATGTAATTAATTTTATGGATTTCACATGGAATTTTTGTGATTTTTTTTTGCTTATATTAAATTTGATTAAAAATTGATATACAGGGTTTTATTATTTTCAGGTCATACTAAAATTTTGTCCAATTTCTTATGCGTAAAAATCAAACTTCAGAGCACAAATATTTATTCAAATTTCAATAATCTGAATTAAGTTATTCATTTCGGGACTAAAATAAATAAATAAAATTAATTTACTTTGACTTCAATACGTGAGTGAGTGTGTCTGAGTATAATCCTTCAATAATTAACAATGATATAAAATAAATGATAATAAGTTATTTCATTTATAAGTCATAATGTAGGGTTTGGTTTGTTTACGAAAACATTTTTACAATAAAAAATCACTGAGCTCTTGGCCCTCAATATTTTTATACGTAATTGCCTCCAGTTTTTTCCTAACACCTACCAAATTTAAAAGGATCTAAGCATATAACAGATTATATCTGTGGTATTTTCTTATTGACAATGTTAAAAGAAAAGATGTGGTTAAAAATATCCACTAATTCAACTTGGTTTTGGAAATTGGAAAAAAATAATAATATAAGGCAGGTAACATGACGTGGAGTAATTGGATTCGTGGCACGATTTTTATGAAAAAGGCGGGAAGACTTGGAAATATTATTAGTAGGCTTGACAATAAGAAAGTAAATTACACGCCGGTGGAAAACATTTGACAACTAAAACGAAGGACCTATGGAATATAATATTTATTTTTATAAAAAAGAATATATTGTTACTTGAGAAGGATCATACAAATTATAATTATTTAGAAGAACTAAATATTAAAATATAAATTTAAAAATACTAAATTGCTACTAACCAATCTTCCTAGGTTCTCTTCTACCTTCAGAATTTTTTTAACAAAATAAAACTAAAAAACTAAAATTGCCCATAACGTAACTATATCTTTTTTTTGGTTAAAACAAAGCTTTTATTTTCCACAGTGGACGTTATTCTTGCTGACATCAACTCTTTCCCGAGAAATTCTGTTCTCCATTTTGGGATGGCGTATGTGCTTCTAGTGAATTTTTATATCCAGACTTTGTTGTTTTCTGAAGTTATTACAATTTTCTTTTTGAAAAAGTAGATGTAATTAAACTTAATTTTTAGGCTGCACATTTGCAGTTTGTTTTTTGTCCGCGTAAAGAAATTTCCATATAAATCAAACTTATTTATATTATATGTCATGGAAAAAAAATCTTTAATTTGTTGTTTAATAAACTTTTACTTTAGTTGTGAAAAATGAATTTATTAATGTTTCAACTTTTCTTTGAAAAGATGAGAAGACTTGGAAGCATTAGAAGACTTTGCTAAAAAAAAGATGTGGTTACAGAATTTTTTTTGGGCATATAAATATTTGTTTATTTTGATTTTCCAATATTTTTTAAGCTGCAGTTTGTTCGCAATACTTGTCACAACTTATAAACTTCCTGACCTTCTGAATAAAGGCTTAATTGAGTTCATTCTACTGAAGCAAATCAGGATGACAGTTTTGTTTTGCAACTTTCATTTGTTTTGTTATTTCGACCTATAATATGACTGGAATTAGAGAGATATGACTTTAATTTGTGGTGTGTATGGAGCAAAATTTTGTCCAATTTCTTATCCAAAAAAAATCAAACTACAGCGCATATATAGTTATTCAAATTTCAATTATCTCAATTAATTTATTCATTTCTGGAGAAAAACAAAAATAAATAAAATTAATTCACTTTCACTTCAATATGTGCCTGTATATGTGCTCCTTTCAGTAATTAATAAAAGTATAAAATATAATAATTAAGCCCATGCCATTCGTGGAGGCCATTTAGGATTTGTTTTGCTTGCAAGCATTTTTAAAATTAAAAAAAAATACTAAGCTATTGGACTTCACAATGAAAATCATGCGGTTATGAATTTTTAAGCATTTAAATTTTTGTTTATCATTTCAGGTTTTCCAGTATATATAGGCATATCATATATAGGCTTCATTACATCATTATACTCAAACTTACCACAATGGCGGGCTTTGCTTCACAAATATCTTTTCTTTTGTTGTTTCAGTTATTTGCAACAACATTAAACAGGGTGATGAGTTGCCATGAAAATGATCAAAGGTTGCTCTTAATCTTCAAACAAGGAGTGGTTGATCCACACAACCACCTCTCTTCTTGGACTGCTGAAGAAGATTGCTGTTTATGGGAGGGAGTTCACTGTGACAACATCACCGGAAGAGTCACAGAGCTTTCTCTTTTCAATCACACATTACGAGGTGACATTAATCTGTGTGTGCTTCAACTTGAATTTCTCAACCACTTGGACTTGGGCCACAATGACTTCAAAACTGTGAGTATGCCACCATGCCAAATCTCCAAACCTCCCTTTGATGCTCACAAATTTCACAACCAATCACTTGTTACTCCTTCCAATCACTCAGCAAGTTTCTCTGTTGCTCTGCTTTATCTTGACTTTTCATGTAATTATGATTTAGTCATAAATGACCTTCATTGGCTTTCCCAACTTTCTTCTTTAAAATATCTTAACCTTAATGACAGTGATATTGGAAATGATACCAAATGGCTCCAGCATATAGCCATGCTTCCTTCACTCTCTGAGTTACACTTGAGTAACTGTGGATTAAGAGATTTTCCTTCCCTTGATTATGCCAATTTTACATCACTTGAAGTTCTTGAACTTTTTGACAACTTTTATATGATGAAGTTAAAATTACCTGATGCATTGTTTAATATCACCAATCACATCTATCATCTTGACCTTGGTGATTGCAATTTCTATGGACAATTGCCAAAGTCTTTGCTCAATCTTCAAAATCTCAAGCATTTAAATTTAGCGTATAATAATCTCGAAGGATCAATTCCAGATTGGTTAGGCCAATTTGAACAGTTACAATACTTGGACATCTATGGCAATCTGTTCCATGGCATAATTCCATCATCTCTTGGAAATATTTCTTCCTTGTTCTACTTAGAATTGTCCCGCAATCAATTGAACGGGGATCTTCCAGAAACCTTGGGACAACTCCATCAATTATATTATTTAGGCATCAGTGGCAATTTGTGGAGAGGTGTTCTTTCTGAAATGAATTTTACCAATTTCTCAAATTTAACATCATTGGACTTAAGCTCAACAAGTTTTGAATTTGACTTTGATCCTAAATGGGTCCCACCATTTCAACTTGAGGTGTTGGATTTGAGCAACACAAGCATAGGTCCTAATGTTCCATCATGGCTGTACACACAACGGTCTTTAAGAAGTCTAGATATTTCTAGATCTGGGATTTCAAAAATTGATGCAGGTATATTTTGGAGCTTTGTAGTAGGAATATTTGATGTTGATATCTCAAACAACTTGATTAGTGATGACATATCCAACGTCTCACTATCAGCAAATATCTCTTCCTTTGATGCATCTAACAACTCTTTATCAGGATCTATTTTCTCATTATTGTGCCAACTAGAGAGCAAGGGAGAGAGCAAGTTGTATCGCTTGGACTTATCATATAATCATTTGGGCGGAGCACTTCCCGATTGCTTGGCCAATTGGAAACAATTAGGTCTCCTTAATTTAGGGAGTAATAAGCTGATAGGTGAAGTTCCTCCCTCATTGGCTTCATTGAAGCTTGTTTTGTTGGATTTGGGTGATAATAGTTTCTTTGGAAAATTTTCGTCAAACATGCTAAATGGGACGTATTTGGAATACCTCATTTTAGAAAAAAATAAATTTTCTGGAAGTTTGCCAAATCCAGTGGCGCAATATTTGGTAGTTATTAAATTGAGGGCCAATCAATTTGTGGGCAGTATTCCATCAAAATTATGCAACCTTTCTCAGTTGACAATACTTGATCTGGCTGAAAATAAGCTTTCAGGATCCATACCTCATTGCCTATTCAACATGACACCTCCACTTTCTTTCTACTACATGCCTAATGAAATCTTAAAAATATTTATGAAAGGAAGGGAACTTGACTACCAATCATTTGTGCGTCTTAGATATTCTACGAGTGGCATTATTGATTTTTCCGCTAATAGTTTGATTGGAGAAATTCCTGAAGAACTAATTAGTAACAGTCAAATACAATCCTTGAATTTGTCTCGAAACTATTTGACTGGGAAAATTCCCCAAAAAATTGGAGTCATGAAATTGGAATCTCTTGATCTTAGCTACAACAACCTTTCTGGAAAAATTCCTTCAACAATATCCAATTTGTCTTTTCTTGATTATTTGAACCTCTCATACAACAATTTCGTTGGACAAATTCCATTGGGAACCCAAATTCAAACTTTTGATTCTTGGAGTTTTGTTGGCAATCCTGAACTTTGTGGAGATCCTCTTCCAAATAAGTGCAATAATAAAGAAGAAACTCATGACTCAAAGCTAGCTGAAGGAGATGAAGATGACGGTTTTCTAAAGTCATTGTATCGTGGTATGGGGGTTGGATTTGCAGCAGGTTTTTGGGGAGCTTGTGCTTCTCTCTTCCTCATCAAAGCATGGAGATACAAATTTTTCCGATGGTATGATCACTTGGCGGATCAACTTTATGTTGCTTGGGCCCTCTTCTTCAAAAGCTTTAGCTAAGTATTAGTAACAAACATCCCTTGAGGTAATAAATGAGCTTCTTTGATTTTTCAAGTGTTATTATTATTTAAATTAGCTTCCTTCACTTAAAAAATATTGTTCTTTAGCTGATTGTGTTATATCTTGTTTACTTTTCAATATGGTTTGCCTATCGGATGCAAGTGGAATAGCTATCATCACTCTGATCGTTATTCAAATACTGAGTTCTGCTTCAAGGAATAAGGAGTTCTGCTGTAGCGAAGCATGGTCAAACCTATCAGTTGTCTTGTTGTTATCTGAACTATAGTGAATTATGAGAAGAGAACATGTTGTAATAACAATTATGTGTGTCTCATGTTGTTAAGAAGCCTTTTGATGAATGGTGTTCCATGTGATATATGAAGGTACACAGTAAAAAGATATTATATGTCTCTGTATTTAAAGATTTCAGGTATCAAAACTTGAAACTTGCAACATAGTGAATCAAATCAAATATCAAATACCAAACAATCTAATAGTAACATTCTGTTTTGACACTTGAGGTTCTCTGCTCCATTGTGGTATATACTGTTTGAAATAACAGAGAGTCATGCCTTGGTAGGTTACTTAATCAAATAATATAATCTCTCAGCTATTAAACATAATAAACATTAAAAAACAAACTTGGCTCAAATCATATGCACAGCAACACGAGAGTATGACGAATTGGTGAGATTGTCTCAAATTCAGGTCTCATGCATATTTTGCTTCAGGGAATAGCTAGGTTGCTTTGCTGCAGTTACAACATCTGGCTAAGAGCTCTAATGTTTCCTATTGATGAATGTCCTTTCATTATCTTAGATTCTGAGGATAGTGAGGATATAGGATTTTGTGATACTAGTCGTTAGCGCATGGTATTTTCTCCAACTGATAACAACTAAGAAGCCTGTGTTGAAAAGTTTTTCATGTCACATATATATGATAGCACTCGCTCTGATAATTTTCACTTTCAATTTTGTGATTATTATATATAGGAACATACACAAATCTAAACACTATCATTTGGAATTTTACTTGAAAAGATGTTTACACAAATATAACTGACAGATGTTAATGTGGCAATCAAACCTTAACAATACTACCTTTGGTTCTCAATATACGAATTAGATAACTACTTTACGAATATTAAGAAAATTAGTTATTTGTAATAAATAGATATTGTTCTTCTTAAAATATTCCTATTAATCATATGTATTGAAAATATTCTTTGATGAAAACTCCTTAATATTTGCAATCACTGAGAATTATTTAAGGATAAAACGGATGAATGTTGGAAACAAAATAGATTATGGCCTTATATTTAGGAACAAATTAAATCTTAATCTAACTCTTATATTAATAAAGAATAAAGAACAGAGGTAGTACAGCAATTTTTTTTTACAACATTAGGAAATGGAATGAAGATTGGAAATTAAAACACGAACCGTAATTTGAAACAAGATTACCATTCTTATTCAATCCTAGTTTACCAAGCCAGAGACATTGTCGTGCCTCTTCAATTTTTCTCGTCACTTTGTCTCTTTATGTATGTTTACACCGGAAAAATTATACTATCCCCTCTCCTTAATATAAGATTTCATATTGTCCTATTCATACATATGACTACATAGTGAATTTCCCAAACTGGAAATATCGATATCTGTGAGATACATATACCATGCAAAGATATATCATATAATAAAAGTAAAATGAATCAATCAACTCAAAAGTATTGTCTCTGTTCTCAATTATTGAAAGTGCTGTCTACCAAATTATGCAGAAAACCAAATATCTCACTATTAGAGAGTGATCAGATCACCCATATGGCCATATCACAGCAGCATCAATAGCTAGGGAGCTTAACAACTTATGATCTCAATCAATGATTGTATCATTAACCACACCTGTCAATTATCATTAATTATTACCGAGTATCTCGTCCCCTACCTCACACTATATTATATTGTTCCTGCAATACTCTTTCTTTATTTCTATTCACAGTATCTTCAACTCTCATGTTTCCATGGCTTCACCTGTTACTATTTCCTCCTCATCAGAGCCTCAAAAGCTTCATGCTTCTGATGATATGTTATAACTATCCAGGCCTTCATTGAATCAAACGGCGACGTTCCCATCCCGACCACATATACTCTCTCCCTGAACCTTGTCGTGATGATGTTGCAGGTGATGACCTTGCTGCTTCCATCCCCGTCCTTGATTTCTCCCTCCTCACCTCCCCGGATCCTCAAATCCATGCCGACGCAGTTCGACAGCTAGGTGATGCATGCAGAGAATGGGGCTTCTTCATGGCAATTAAAGTGTTTGAGAATATTTAGTTGAAGCCTCTATAGTATCTAGAATTGCTTTTCTGGTCGACTTTGTTTTTGGATGTGTCACTTTCAGATTACAAATCATGGGATTTCAGAGAAACCGATGGAGGAGGTGATAAACAAGTCTCTGGAGTTTCACGATTTGCCTCTTGAGGAAAAGATGGAATTTTTCAATAAAGAACTCATCACACCCGTTAGGTTTGGTACCAGTTCCCTTCCTTATGGAGAGAAGGTTCATTACTGGAGAGATTATCTAAAACTTGCTACTTTTCCTGAATTCCATTTCCCCCACAAGCCCCCTCATTTCAAGTACGCGCAATTTCAATTTCTCTCGTCTTTCTCTTCCTCTATCTTTTTTTATTTTTTTAAGCATCCAAGAATGAGTTATATCTATATATATATGGGGAAATTGAAGCCTCTCATATTAGCAGAAATAGACCAAAAATTTGACGTTCCAAGACTTTGAATTAAGTAGTGTTAAATCTAGGTAGTCACATATATGCTCTCATTCAATAATGTAAAAAGTTGTCAATAGCCCTATAGTCTAATGACATGAAAACTCTTTTATAAATGAGAGGTCGCAATTTTGATCATGCAGCGTGTAATCTCAAGCCATTAGTATCTACCCTTCTAAATAAAAGAAAAATATAGAAGCCTGATAAAAACTATGGGGCTTTAAAAAATACAACATTTTTCATTCTTATTTTGCAGGGAGGTAGCATTTGAATACAACAAGAGAATAAGAAATGTGGCAAGGACTTTGCTGGAAGGAATATCAGAGTTTAGGATTACAAGCCAAGGCCATTATAGAGTCCAAAGCTTTTGATTCAGGGCATCAGAAATGTCAAGTGAACTTATACCCTCCATGTCCTCAACCAGACCTTACTGACAATCGCTTACTAACTGTCTTCATTGAAAATGGAATCAAAGGCCTTCAAGTGAAGCAGCATCATAAATGGGTTAATGTGAATCCTCCTTTGCCTTATTGCTTACTTGCCAACATTGGAGATCAACTTGAGATCACTCATCAACTTTCCCTCCTTAATTAATCATATATACTTACCTTAACCAGCCAGTTTCTTCTATTTGCGATGGTTCTGATAAACTTGTTTGATATGTGTTTCGAAATTGAGCAGATTGTGAGTAACAAGCTGTACAAGAGTGTGTGGCACAGAGTAGTGGTGAATGAAAGAGACAAGAGGCTTAGTCTTGCACTGAAGAATGAACCAGCACCTGAGAAAGAAATAGGGCCTGCAACTGAGCTATTAGAGAAGGAAAAGCCATTGTTCAAGAGAATCAAATATAAAGATTACTTGCGAGTTCAACTGGAGGCTAGATGTATTGACAAGAGAGGTTTGGATGTGATTTCCATCATTGATGTTCTAAACTGACACCTTTCAAACAAGTTTTATGTCAAGTGAGTTAAAGGGACATGTATTTTCCCATCTGAAGAAAATAAAAAACATTAGTATTCTCACGTCAAGAACAATTGAGCTTGGTAAATAGTATAGAATAAAATGAAATGACTTATAAAATTGACTCTTAAGATTTTAAGTTAAGATATAATGTTAACTATTGTTTATTAGTATTTAATTTTTGTGTAAATAAGAAAAGTTAGTTTTGCTGTTAAAATTTTTCTTCCAGCATGGATCCCACCAGATAATTATAAAATTTATGTAAATATTAATCGGATAATTGAGATTTTTTTTAAAAAAATGTAAATTAAGTCCATAGAACAACTAGCCTCATGGTTAAAAGCATTTATAAAAACTCCCTTGAATGGTTTATGATTAGACCAAAATTTGAGCTCATTTTACGAGGGATGTAGATCAGTTTTAGTATATCAGTTTTAGCAAAACCGAAATTTTGCCGTGTATAATGGATTCTTTTTGATAAAATGTATAATGGATTCTTTTGATAAAATGTATAATGGATTCTCATTTCTCGAGGAATAGATTAAAGTAGGTCTTATTACGTTACCATGTTAGATTTCAAGGATGGCACAAGCTCTAAATTTAACTAAAATTAACTTGAAATTTGGAAGTCCATTATTTGCAGGAATAAAGCCGCCTAGTCTAAGATAAAATTAAAAATGCCTGCAGCTCCTGCGGCTGCTTCTCTTCCGAGTTGTTGTTCCCTCCATCAAAAGCCTCTGAATTTTCATAGCAATGCCCATCACCAGAGAAATCTTACCACTCTATCACTTTCTACTACTCACAGCAAAATCCCAATAAGAGATTTCTGCGCTCTGACTCTGAGAAATCCCCGGAGTTTCGTCAATTCCAATTCAAATCAGAGCCAGAGCCACTCTCTGTTTCTTCATTTTCTTCTCTCTACTGATTACAAAGACCCCAATAATCAACACCCAGAACGCAGATACCAAAAGCTTCCACAAGAAGACGAGCAAAAGGGGTTCGGCAGCGCCGAGGAAAGGCGGGTACATTTCACAAACATGTGGTGGGCAGATGTGAAAGCGGCGTTAGGGCAGAGAATAAACTTGGAGGCCATTTGTTCGACGTTTTTGTTTGTGAAAGACCCCAAATTAGCACTGCCTCATGTTTCTGTTCCGGACTTGAGGTACATTGATTGGGGTGAGCTGCGAAGAAGGGGTTTCAAAGGGGTCGTGTTTGATAAGGATAATACCATTACTGCTCCTTACTCTTTGACACTTTGGCCTCCCCTTGCTTCTTCGATGGAACGTTGTAAATCGGCGTTTGGTCCTGATATTGCTGTCTTCAGTAACTCTGCTGGTAAGTATAGTGTGAAGGTAGTTCAGAATTGGAGCTGTATGGTATTCTGTAAGCTATGAAGTAGCTATACTTCAAAGAAAGAATCTCGTTATCGAATAGATATGGTACTTAAATTATTTATAAACACTATATATTTCATCCTGTGGATCTTGGATTGCTGGTACCTCTAAGCCATTACGGATCTAAAACACTTATATTTTGTTTTCTGAAGTGCTGCCATTTCCCGTCTGTATCAGTGTCGACATTGTTGCTTTTACGCATGAAGCAATTTTTCGGTACGGGCATGTTGCTCACAGGACTTTTGTTGTGTTACTTGTGTCTGATGAATTAGGACTTCATGAGTATGATCATGATGGTTCCAAAGCTAAGGCGCTTGAGGAGGCAATTGGGATTAGAGTCATAAGGCACAGTAAGTGTTTCTTTTGAGACATGTCTCCTACCTTTAAACGTTAGACGTGAAATATTCATTTGGATTGTCAATAATAATGTATTGTTGGTGTTGATGTCTTTATATATTTGCATGCCTTAGGGGTGAAGAAACCAGCTGGATCAGCTGATGAAATTGAAAAGCATTTTGGTTGTGAGCCCTCACAACTAATCATGGTAAAGAAAAAATTTAGAAGAGTTCATTGTCACTTAGTTTTGTTTCATATTTTGAGAATGCTTGTCCCAGCATGAGTATATTGTGGCAGGTGGGTGATCGGCCCTTCACTGACATTGTTTATGGCAATCGAAATGGGTTTCTTACTATTTTGACCGAACCTCTTAGTCTTGCCACGGAGCCATTTGTTGTTCGACAGGTTTGCTTGTTATGATATTTAGCTTTTCTTTGGAGCATTACGATTTTCCCTGTTTATTATTATCTTTTAAATTTTGTTTTGAATAAGAAAATTTTGTTAATAAAAGGGAAATGAGACAACTCTATATGGAGTGTTTTATGGGAATGAAGGAAACAGGGAAAAAACAGAGAGAAAACCATTGAGAAAAAAATTCTATTCTGCCTCCTTCAAGAGACAGTTAATGGAACTGAGTACTAATAATATCAAAAGTATAAACTACGAGTAGACTGGGAAGGAAACCTTGTTTCAAATCGTATGTGAAGTTTGATAATGGTTCTTAATTAGCACGACCCAAGTTATTGCTCTCTGTAAATGATGCATATCTACAATTATTTGCCAAAGGCAAACACATTAAAGGATATTTATGTATGTCAATGTGAACCAAGTGCAACATGCTCGTTTGCCCCCTTTCCTTTGTTTCAGCTTCCTGATGTTTAGAAATTTTTTGTATTTCATTGTTGAAATATGCTGTTTCGTATGTGGTATCTTGTTCAAATTTTCAGTATGTCCCTTATTTACAAGTTCATCTTTGTCATAGTTACCAATGTTAGCGTTAGATTTGCTTGCTTTCGTAGGATAATCACGCACATGTTACCATTTCAGTATACATGAACAGCGCGCGCGCGCAGTCAAATACACATATACTATCAATTAGCTATTTACAAGTGCACATCCATCTTTTGTCATTTCATGATCAGTACTTCTTCACCTTTCCTCAATCTTCAATAACCGTTTGTTTGTACAAGTATAGCTCTATAGTTCTTCAGTTGCATCTTTCCATTTCATTTATCAAGTGTCTCCATTTAAATAATTGAGACTACATGCTGGAGATAATGGCCACACTTTGGCATCAGCAGTGCATTCACTTGCTTATGGCTACATTCTGCTGTTCCTGTGGTTGGTCTTGTCCTATAAAGTTGAAGGTGCAAATCCCTGATTGCTAATGCATAGATAATTTACATGTTAGTGTAAATTCGTATTTAGGTGCTATGTGTAATGTTTTTCTCTATTCGCTGCTAAGTCCCTGATTGCTAATGCATAGATAATTTACATGTTGGTGTCAATTCGTATTTAGGTGCTACGTGTAATGTTTTTCTCTGTTCACTGCTAAGTTATATATTAAAAAAAAAATTCCTGTGTTGTAATTGATTGTAAAACACAACAGCGAAAACCAAAGAATTGCACCGAGCTTTTTCTTTATATGTTATGTGATGGCGTGATTGATGACAGGTGAGGAAACTGGAAACTTCATTTGTAAATCATTGGCGTGGAAGAGGTTTGGAGCCACCCTGTCACAAACTATTGCCTGACCAAATGCTGTGTGTGGAAGAGCCTCCTCCCCCTCAGTAAAACTGGAACCAACTCTGCATAATTTTCCAGAATGCCACTCTACACTGCAGGAATCCATCATTGTCAATATCTTTTGGTTGATTGTTGATGACATTAGATTCACACCAAAGGAGAATCTTCTTTTTGATAATAGAAAGCCAAATGGATAGGTAGTTAAGTTTGAGCCCAAAAAAAAAGTTTAACTTCATCTCCTCTTCTTTTGTTCCTTTTCATTTTGGAGTTAATCATCTCCTCTTCTTTTATTCCTTTTCATTTTGGAGTTTTCTTCGACTCGGGCCTTTTTAACACACCCAGCGGGTACGTCCTTCAGTAAAATTTTAGGGAAAAGTTAACTGATTTCACCATTATCTTTTTCTTTTTTTTTGGGTCAAAACTAATTTCAGCATTGTTAAGAAGTGGTAGCTGATGTCCTTTTAAAAAAGAAATGTGATTTTTCAATTTTGCCCTTCATTGGAATCAATTATAACAATAAAGTACTTTTTCTGGTCCTATATATATATATATAAGTTTCACTTTTAAAGATGAGTCTGATTTAAAATATAAGCTTCGTTTTTTAGTTTGTATGAGCTTTTATTACTTTTTTTTTTATTTTGCTCTTATTTAACTGTATTTAGTACTTTCTCTCTCATTAATATTACTTCCATATTTTCTCTTTTATTATTATTTTTATGTATTGCCTCCCGTTTATTCTTTTAATAAATAAAGACAAATTAAAAAAAATCCATTTATAACTTATTATTTTAAACTAATTTTAACTGGTTATTTAAAGTTTATACATAAGACTGGAGGGAGTATTGTCCATGAATTGAAAATATGCTAACAATTTGTTGCAAGTAACCTGGGGTGAGAGTGGGAAGAAAAATAATTACCATGTCTATCTTTTAGGAGCTGTATGGTAGTGAGTGTTAGGTTTTAAAGGGACAATATGAACATAAAATGGCAATTGATGTAATGAGAATGCTGAGACAGATGTATAGTCATACAAGAAAAGATAAAATTCGAAATGAACATATACAAAAAAAAGTTGGAGTGACTGCTATTGATGAGAAATAGTAGAAAACAGATTGAGATGGTTTGGTCACGTGTGAAGAAGGCTTTGGGACGTGTCGGTGAGAAGAGTGGATCAAACAGTATGGAGTTCTCTAAAATAGAGTAAAGAAAGACTAAAGACAACACTTCATGAAGTTATTGAGCGAGATCTCTCAATTAATAATATATCTAAAGACTTGGCTTTAGATAGGGTTTACTAATATCGTGTGATTTATATAGTTGACTTTACCTAGTGGGATAAGGTATTGTTGCTATTATCTATCTTTTAGAACCAAACAAAGTTTTAAGATTTTGCCTTCTGATCAGGACTGGAACAAGTATTTTTTCCCCCAAGTATGAATAGAACAATGAGCAAATACGTGGACATGATTATCAATACAAATTGATAAATGTAAAGACGCATAATAATATTTTTGATATTACTTTCAGTCTTTAATGTAAGAGCTTGTTTAGTTTTTATTTTAATCTTAAATATAAGACTTCAATTTACTTTGTGTCTCATATTTATCTATTTTTTTTAAGGTAGTTCTTATAATAATAGTAGTTCTAGCAAATACACTTGATCAGCAAAGATATTTTTAAAAAGATAACATCTATTTATTACAAATAATTTACTTAATTAGTTTTCTTAATTTACTCAAATTAATTAATTAGTTTTTATATTAAAGATTGAAGGTAGTACTTTATGAACAAAAAAATCCAAATCCTGAAGAATTATTAAATGACAACCTCATAGGGACTACTTTTTGAAGTGGTTGGCTCTCCATGAAATTTACAACTACTTATACACTAGTTTTAATAGTCTTATTCACAACTTTTATAATTAATTTGACTCTCTTTTTTTCAAGAATTAAACTTATTATCACTTTTCCTTCATCACCAACACATGACACATCTATAATCTACATATAATTTTAAACAGAAATTAAGTCAAAATAATGGACACCAACTAATTTAACCACCCCCCAAAAAGAATTAAAAGTAGACCGGTCATTTCAATTTGAAGGCAAGACCCACCACATTTAATGAAACCTACTATTAATGAATAATCAAAAAGAATTTGAACTCAACCTTTTTGATGGGTACTCTCCCAATTAAGTAAATCGTTATTAGTTATTGATTGTTTCCATCGTTATTTATATCAGTCTCCAAAAATTTTGGCAGCGTCACGTTTTTATTTTACGTTAAATGAAAAAAAATTACATAAAACTTCTTTGAATTTGGAATTATATATATAATAACCTTGACATTTAAAACTTAATAATAAACTGCCCTAAATTTCTAAACCTGAGTAAATAACCCTAAACTATCAATTTTTCACCCAATCTTTATTTTTATATACATATAACATTTTTTTTTTGACCAGCTATACATATAACATTTTCAAACTTTTTCTAACATTTAAAAAAATCATGTGACCTGTATTTGAGAAGAGTTTGCGAACTGCATTTGAAAAGTTTACTGTGATCAAGATAAGCCTCACCTAGGTAATAATTTTATAGCACGGTAGCATGAAATTTTTTGTGGGTGAGAAGTTGCAGGTTGAATCTTATTTATAATGTCAAACCATTAGTACTTATTCCATCAGTTTTTATTCTAAGATCTAATTTTTTGAATTAGTTTATTCATTTTTATAAGTTTTTTTTTTAAAGGTTTGTCTAAATAATAAATACATTTTTACTCATTTTACCCTTAATTAATATATGCTCTCTCATTAACTTTTTCCCATGCATTCTCTTCTCTCTCTTTTTTTTTTGTCACTCACACCTTCCCACTTATAAATAAGGAATATTTGGGGGGAAAAAAGAGTATATTTTCAACATATTTATCATTTTTTAACTAATTTTAACAGTTTTTTAAACCACATAATATAATTAAATAGATATTATAATAAGAGACCAAGGGAGTACTTCTTAAATACGACTTCTAATTCTTAATATAAGAGTTAATTGATTAATTTGAATAAATTAAGAAAATTTGTTGAGTTAGTTATTTATATTTATTAGGTGTTCTCTTTTTAAAATACCCTTGCTAATTACATGTATTAATTAGAACTATTATTTGATTGAACATTTACCATATGTAACCACTACAATAGCTATTTTGAAAAAAATGATAAATATGAAAAATAAAGTGGATTGAAATTTTATATATAGAATCAAATTGAATGTTAAATTAGCTCTTATATTAAAAACCGAAGGTAGTAAAAAATTACCACCAAAAATATGGAAAATTGGCCTCACCTAAATAACTAATTCAACTAACATGAACAAAAATACTTGTATCGAGCATCTACTAACGAAATTCTTGATTCGAAAGTAAAATCCAAATCCACATCATATATGAGACAATGTGTGCTTATCATTCAAAGCGATCATGGTTATTGCACATATTTCATGTCAAGTGTTTGATATTGTTGTCACGTGGGATTTCCTAATTTCATTGAAGAAGAAAGAGAATAATGTAAATTTTGCCAACTGCCATAAGGTCCTAAACTACTGAATCCAGTTGCACAGTATGAGCGTGTCTGTGTGTGGGGCACATGGGACACTGACATATTTTGATATGCACATTAATTGATTCAGCTTAACAATAATACTCTCTAACAAAAAAAATTAATTCAATTTATTAAATACTGGTAAACTAATTAAACTAACCTCAAACAAATATAGTCCCACTAAAAGTTGGGGAAATTACATTAACATGCTTATTTTTTGAAAAAAAGATGACAAATAAAGGATCTTAATTTAAATTTATAATTAGCTCTAAATAATAAAAGTATTTATAGATTTTATGAAATTTACTGTTAATTTTTCAATAAAAAAATGAATGGAAAGTTTTAATAAAATTAATAATAAATACGTTAGAGTTAACCTTTTTAAAACATATGAAACTTGGTATTAAATTCAATTCTTGAATTTTAAGATCTAGCCTAAACTTTGTAAGCTATATAACTTGATTCTTTCATATAATTTTTCTTCTGAAAATTGTATCTTCCTTTTTAATAATATACAAATTTTAGATGAGTTGAGTTATAAAAACTTATAAAAGCCAATGCATACTTACATATCGTTTATTGATAAGTCTCTCACATCAACAGTAATATTTAATTTCACAAGTTATTAGCAAAATCTTTACCAAATAAATCTTCCGAATATCTTTCCTTTTAAATTTATGTGACAAGCAATTGATCATATATTACAAATGAATTATTTTTATGTGTATTATTGGTTTGATGATCTATTATCTCCCTTCTAGTTTATCAAACTTTTTTAGGTGATTTGATTTTTCCTGATACTATATTCTTAATTCTAAAGATAAAATCTAGTTTGTAGTGCAAATTGCACTAAAAACTAAATTTTATATTTAGAAGCAGAAGTAATATATATGAATATAAAAAAAATGATTCATAACGACTTTGTTTCAAAAACACCCTCATTAAGTGTTTGAGTTAATTTGGAGTTAGTGATAAATGAATGACATATTCGAAAATTTATACTTTGTTTAAAAAAGTAAGATTTAAATATTTTGTAAATTGAATGGGAGCAAGTATTCATTACCTGTAATGAAACTGACCAATAGCCAACAGGAGGCAAATCCTGCAAGGCTGCAACTTTAAGCTCCTTCAGTGTTTTCTTTTCCCCTTTTTTTTTTTTAAAAAAAAAAGCATTATTGGAGAAGAAGAGAAGAAGTGAACAGTAATATACAGTATGAGTAAATGCAGCCTGCAGAACATCAACTAACCATACACTTCTCCACCTGTAAAAATTAACTTCACTCCGTGTGAACCATCCTCTTATATTCCTTCTTCACACCCTTCTCCAATCCACACTTCAAACCCTAAATCCTCCTTCTTTCTTCTTCTTCACTGTGTTTTGTCCCAACAAGACTCAGACATGGAGAAGTTCAGAAGAAGCAGTCCAGCTGCTTATATTCATATCCACACTCATCACTGCATTGATCTCCCACAATCTTGTAATCCCTGTCATCTCCTCTACCACCACCATTGAAGATCAGAAAAACTTTTTCTTCTCTCCACCAGACCCACGTACAGGATCTCCTCCTTCAGGTCTCTCAATCTTTCTCTGCAGCCTTCTGAACCTGAAAGATACCGCTTTTTGTTTTCTTTCTTCTGATACGGTTCATGGCTATGCATGACAAGTAGATTTGAATAATCAAATGCTTAAATAGAAACTGTTTTGAGAACTTCCTTTTTTTTGGTTTTTGCAGGCTCATCATATGGGAGTCCTCCATCTCATGGCTCGGCGGTGGCCATGGAAGCTCATCACCACCTTCGCATGGAACACCTCACATGGCGGTGGTGGAAGTTATAATCCAACACCATCAACGCCCTCGGGCAGGAACTGTGGCTCGCCCCACACCATGACCCGTCTCCAACGCCGTCAACACCGTCTACCCCATCAAACCCTCCGTCAGGTGGTGGTGGTTTACTATAACTCGCCGCCTTCTTCTGGAGGTGGCAGCCCGCCGGCCACCCCAACCGACCCAGGCACCCCCACTGTCCCTTCATCACCCCCTTACCTTCCTTCTCCCTCTCCCTTCACTGGTACTTGCAGGTATAAATCTTTTCATTTGCTAACTGCAGAAAGATAACATTACATTTCACGTAAGAAATAAGAAGCAAGAGTATATAATGACTCAGATATGTAAGGGGAAAATATATTGTATACGCAGCTAGATATCATTAGGCCTAATAGATTTTTTGTTATATATATAGAACGTACGCTGGTCTTTATTTTATTTGTTTATTTATTGCATATTTAAAAATATTTTAAAATGTACTAGAAAGTTTGGGCAGTCATAGTTTAAACTGAAAACTACAAACTCATTTTATATTATATATAATATGTTCATTGTTAATTCGTCACAAACCCTTGTGTTCTTATTTTCAAATTTTGAAAATAATCATATCCGAAGTATTAATTACTACGACATTATATCGTATCCAGTATAGAATTTTTCCGTTTTATACAATTTAAACGCACATGCACACAGAAACATGTCAACATCGGGTACACCGAAACATGTCGGATTCTGTCGCAGCTATAACTAGCCGTTGACCAATATAGATCTTATGCAAGTGTATTTACTGGTTTAATGTGCAGCTACTGGAGAAACCACCCAGGAATCATCTGGGGATTGCTTGGTTGGTGGGGAACGCTAGGGAGCGCATTTGGAGCCTCAGGAGGCAGTGTTCCAGGGTTCAGTGGTGCAGGGATGAGCTTGCCTGAGGCACTTTCAAACACAAGAACTGATGGGCTTGGAGCTCTCTACAGAGAAGGCACAGCTTCATTCCTCAACTCTCTTGTCAACAACAAGTTCCCTTACACCACCAAGCAAGTCAGAGACAGATTTGTGGCTTCCATTGGCTCCAACAAGGCTGCTGCAACACAGGCTCATCTCTTCAAAATGGCCAATGAGGAGAAGAATGAAGCCTCATGACTGATCTGATCTTATCTGCAGCAATATTTGGTTTTTGTGTGTCTCTGTTAAATGAAATGAGAGTGCTATATTAAATGTAAGACTTTAATTTATCAGCTAGAGTGTGTGTTGTTTTTTATTCTTCAGTGTTACTTTGACAAGGATATTTTGTCAGTATCCCATTTATAACATTGTTAGCTACATTTATAACATTGTTAGCTTCTTTGGTGTTTATCAGTTTTGAATAAAGTTCATTAACTTTTAGTTTAATTTGATACTCTAGAGTCTAGAATCTTTGTTCGGTTTAGAAGGTCTTGTGAGGTTTCATATAGGCTTAAGTATTAGAATATGAGATATCATCAATCGAACGTAAATTTCATTGTACCTGAAATTCAAAAATGAGCTATAACGTCACATGAGTTAAAATGCAATTTTGCCTTAATTAGAAGTATCCTTGGAGAAATTATCAAACCCTAAAGAAAATTACGGAATATTTTTAAAAAAAAATTGGTTTCAATTTTACCCTATTTTAAGAGTCAACGGGCAAGTGGGAGACTTTTTTTTTTTTTTCCAACGTTGAACATTGCACTGGTTTTGAAAAATCTTACATAATTAGTATTTAAAACTTTGAATTAAACGGTTAATGAGGATTTGACAAGTATTCAAAATTCTGTGATGGGTCTCCTTAATTGTCATCTCCCAATCTAAAATGAATCCTATATCCAGAAACAATAATCCAAAAGGAGCCACACAGGTGGTAATTAGTTGTACGTACGGTATCCAGTGCACGGATTCCATTTAAAGGGACAGCAAGGCAGCTGGGTTTTGGAGAGAGACAAAGTCACGGCCTACACCCCACCCTGTTCAAAGTTATGTTTTTGTCGTCTCCTTAGTCAAAGGTAAGGGCACTAATTGGTAGTCTACATGTAACTAGGAACACAGACCAAAAACATTAGTCAACATCCTAGGGAACCCTAAGATATAGAACATGCATTATAGAACATGCATTGGAGGGGAAATGGGCGAGTTACAATTATAGGAGATTTAGTTAGTGTCCTTTTTAAATGCAGTTAGTAGCAGCCGAACTCTAAATATAGGCAACCTTGTAACTTTCTTCTCGTTTTTCCTGAAGGCAAATCCCTTTTCAGTTACGTACAGCTGATTATGATTTATGGGGTCATTATAGCATCAGACAATCAGACATGTCATTTTCTTAGGTTTTCTTTCTTCTTCTTTTTTTTGGACCCGACATTGTCTTAGGTTTGGTACGCGCACAAAGACGCAAAACATATTAGCCAATATCCTAAGTAACACCATGAAATAGAACAAAGGAAACCATGATTGTGGAGGAAAATTGGGCTTTACGGTTATAGGAGGTCAAGTTAATGTCCTTTTAAAGTGGAATTAGCAGCAGCAGCTGAAGCCCATAAATATAGGTATGCTCCTATACTTAAGGCTTTCTTCAGCTTTTTCCTGAAAGGAAATCCTTTTTCATTTATGTAAAGTTGAGTGTGGTTTATGGGTTCATTATAACATCAGACTGTCAGACGTCATCTTCTTTGGCCGGGGTCTCTAGGTGATGTTGGTGCCGCGTTAATATGAACAATTTAGCTATAGCGAGTCACACTGCCAATACATGTTCAATACCTGTACCAGATACTATAAATTGCACATGAAAACTAAATACTTTGAGCTGTCATAATATCTGTATTTTTTTCTGTATGACCAGAAGGACCCATAATAGAAGTCTTTACATGTGAACCACTGGATGATACAAAAACGAGAGCAAGACTTATTTACCAGAGGCTATATAGGCTATGTTTGGATTGCCGTTTGGAACGCTGAAAGAGCCTAGGAAATTGTGAAACCAACGTTTGCAACTGAAATGAAGAAAAATGATTGTTTGGCTAGAATATCTTCTCCAACCGACTTCTACGGCAAACGGTGAACGTTGGCAACGCTGAGAAGAGCTACTTCTGGAGCATCTGAAACTGAAGTCTACCGTTATGGGGCATTATTAATATCACCTACCAGTTTTAACCCTCCCTACATTTTCTCTCTCCCGAATCCATTCACTAGTCACTCCCTCCGTAGAGCTTCTCCACCGTCACCGACTGCTCTCCCTCCCTCCTTCTCTCCAATCTGCTGGCAATGGACGGCAAAACCGACGGCCGACTTTAGTTTGGTCTTGACTTCGTTTCTCTCTCGACGTCTGATTTGTGTAGAAAATGAACACCGACGTTGGTTTGAGCTCGACTTCTCTTTCTCTCGACGTCTGGTTCGTGTAGAAATGAACAAAGGATGAAAGCATGCAAACCCAAGAGGAGCTCCGGTTTGCAAATCAGGAGGAGAACATGAAGGGACGCCTGGGCTAAAGAAACCGGGAGAGTTTACTAGAATAAGGGTTAATGCCAACTAAAATTAAAGTGATATGAGCTGTATTATTAAAATTTTACTGAGATAATAAAATAAATCAGTAAATGCCAGTTAAAATTACGATGACGTGAGCTGTATAATTGAAGCTTTATTGAGGTAATGGAATAGATTAAGCAAATGCCAGCTAGGATTAAAATGAGATGAACTGTGTTATTAAATTTTTGCTGAGATAACATACTGGATTAAGCAAATGCCAGCTATTAAAATTTTACTGAGATAATAGACTATATTAAGTAAATGTCAGCTAATATTTAAATAAGATGAGCTGTATTATTGAAATTTTATTGAGGTAATAGACTCTATTATTAAGGAAATGCCAGCTAAATTATCATAATAATTTTATATGTTTTTTTAATCTATTATCACATTAAAAACATAAAATTTCAAAAACTACTATTTAATAAAGTTCATGCCCTTTTTAGTCATTTTACAACTAAACTAACTTTTTTATTCATCATCTAAACAACTTTCAACTTTTTTAACTGTCTTTTCAAAAGCACCTATCCAAACATATTCTGACTGACTTTTACTTTAACTTCAGTTACAAAAGTCAGTTGAACTATAAGTCAGTTTTACCCAACGCCAATCCAAACATACCCATAATTATTTATATTACAACAACGAAAAAGAAAAAACCTGAGTAAGGTCCCATCACCATCAGCTAATGTGAGATTCAAACCACTTAAAAATCTTGTCAGAATGAACACTAGTCATCTCATGGTAAGCAAATGCAAGGTTTAGCTCCTCTTGGATGTGTGGGAATAGATGCTCATCAAGTGAGAAACTTTTCTTCTCCTGAAGAGCCCTTTTCCAATTCAATGCCCGCCCATCTTTCTTCATATACCCTTTATCATCAATAAATCCCTTTTCCTGAAAGACCTCAAACAGCCTTGCAGAAACGGTTTGATCAAGACCAGGAATTCTATCAGCTAAAGTGTTTGGTGCTAAGGGGAACTCCGTGCATTCGATAACATCAACGTCAACCCCATTATCTTTAAGAACTTCCACATATTCATCTATTTTCTGCTGCCTGTAGAGATCTTTAGGCATGTGCACAAAGAGAGTAGGCGGATAGTCCTGTTTGATCCTGATTTGCCCAAATGTTCCTTCGGCAATCATGAGCACAATGCTACTAAAGTTCATAATGTTAGCAAGTACAGATACAAAATACCCACCAGACGAAGCACCCAAAGCTACAAGAGGAAGTTTCTCAAGTTTCCTTTCACTAATCCACCAATTTATAATTTTTTTAACAATTAAAACTTCTTCATTCAATGTCCAACATCTTCCGGCGCTAGAAATAGTAATAACAGCAAACTGTCGAGCAAGACCATTAAGTACAAGTAATCGTTCTTCAGGTAGCCCAATGCAGTTAGGGCACTCAGGTGATTGATCCCAAAAGTTGATGGCTCTGCCATTGCATCCGTGAGCCAAAAACAGAACGGCCTTGGGCGATTTAGGTATTTGCCATATTACATCTGTTCCATTCCGGAACTCTACTGTGGGATGCAATTGCACGACTGAGTCAAGGCTATTCCTCTCTTGTTTTTTGACTTTGTCAGATAAATTAGGCTTTTGAACTTCATCTTGAAATGGTAACAAAAGTCCAACTAGCATCAGTATAAGAACTGCAAGTAGTACTGGGACCCGCCAATTCTGAGGACCGTTCCATGTCTTTGATTTGTATCCACGCTTCAACATGCTGCAGGCAGAGATACAATTCTTTAAAGTCGTGAAAGAAAGAATACATCAAGTAGAAATGACTTTTTTTGGTGAAATTGTCATATCATCAGTTGAGTGTCTATGTAAATAATCATTTGATTCCCCAAAAACATGAGAGATCAAGTTTTCAGTCTAAAGGAGCCTCTTCTATTCGTAAACTCTGAGAGTGAAGGTTATCTCTGTAAATCAACTAAATATTAATGAAGTGTATAGCACCAAATACAGACGGCCATCACATCATAGCTTTAGATTAGTGCACACCTAAGTATTGACAACAGTAAATGCACACAATAAATGAGTACAATAAAATTTTACCAGTCACAAGTCAAAAAAAGACTGACAAAACACAACTGGCGCCAGAAAACTTGAAGACTTGGAAACGGAACCCACCAGATGAAGGACTATGATTGAACTAATATATAGATACTATTACCTAATTGTATTTAAAGTTAAGCAAAAGAGAGCAGAGACCCTTTATAGTCCTAAAATATTTAAGCTGCAAGCATCAACTCGCTTACTGGGAAGTTCAAGGATTCCAAAGAAATAGCAATATAATATGAAATAGAACACAGATAGGAAAATTAACATCTAATATGATGTTTTAAAACATTCGGCACCTGTTTGTTTCTAGGTCCACAAAGCGTAATAATTTGCACATGACATGAAGTTCTAGTGTCAATGTTTGTGGCCTTACAGTCCCCTTCACAGAAAATGGGTTCAAGGTACGAAACCACAATATTTTATAGTTATCTTATCCTTTCCTTCACTAGTTTATAATACCCCAAACTTAAGTCCATATTTTCATCGTTTATACATCATATGTCAACCCAATTGGTTTTGACACCCATATCTAACATGCACTCCAGCACCATTGTCCCCACCCACCAGAACCCAACAGATTACATAGTAAAACAACTGAAATCAAATTTGATGCAAGAGAAAAAAGTAATTCTGAGGTAAGAGTAAATTTCCGTGCTTCTTTCTCCTCTTGCATACAAAAAGAAAAAAGGAAAAAAAAAAAACTGATGCTCTTTCTTATGTTCTTACATTTCAATTATAACCAAAGTTTTCCCCTTTGCTAAACAAGCAGGATCTTCTTCAAACCATGGAATAAGCTCAATGTGTAAGTCTTGACAGCAAAACACAGAACGCACGTTCCAACTTTAATTCTGTAGCCTGTATTGACATTATCCCGAGACAAACATTGTAATTCCTAACTTTTATAGAAGGCGTAATAGTTGTTTTGTCTTGAAACTACCTTTCAAGATAAACAATTACACATCATATATAATATTCAATTAGCAGTGATTAATACAGTCACTGCTGACCTTTTTCCCACATCGAAATAATTCAAGTATGAGCTCAGTAAGTCCAGTGTTAAATTTTAGGATCCGCAACAAGGCAAATGCTTATCGTTCTAACTTCTCTCTGTCCCACCCTCCCCTTCCATTCAAAATAAAATCTTAAGATGATCACTATAACTGCGTTAGAATCATTCACAAACGCAATGCCGAATCTCCAAACTTTTGCCTTTTTTTGGCTCAAGGTACCGCTTCTGCACTTCAAACTACACTGTAAAAAAAATCAAATACGATGAACAAGCAAGTAAATCAGGAAGAATAAGAAATCACCCCAAAAATGAAATTTCCTAATCTTGAAACTCATTCAGTACAGAGCTCCAAACATCTCCGACCAAATTTCCAGAAAAGCATGACCAAAACAATAGCCATGTTGGAAATAAGCAGTAAACCAGTTACATATCAAGCAATCACAATCTAAAATGAAGATAATTAGCAGAAGTTTCTGCAGTTCTACAGGAGGAAAGACAGAACATACCTGAAAGGCTGAAACTGAAGATGCAGAAAATAGTTGACGCATAGATCAGGTGGCGAAGCGAGCTCTAAATCGTCATTCAAACGTTCTCCCAATTCGGCACTTGGATTTAGAAACTCCACTGCTGGATCAATACTCAGGTACATATCCATTGAAGCCCAGATTTAACGAAGCCCACGACTTGTTTGATCGTAAGTTGAACGAAAATAAAATGATGGAAAATTCACCCTCCCTGTGTTCCATCAATCAAAATCAATATTATAATTACCTATTAATTTTTTAAAATATTAATTTAACAGATTCATTCAACATGAAATGTAAAAATAAAAAGTATAAAAAAAAATAAAACTAAATAATCTATGTATTTAAATTTATATATTTTTGTTTTTCTTATCAAATCAAGAGAAAGGGGTCTCTGGTCTAGGAAAAAATCGAGGCGTAGCTTTTTTCTATTCTTTCATTTTTATTCTATTTATCGATTGTGAGTTAAAATAAGTAACACTTTGTTAAATTTGTATTTTGATAATTTTATTTTGTTATAATTATATTTTCAATTATAATTAATTTAATCACAGTTAGATTACTAATCCGTCTAATTTTTTGTACTTTCCTTGCAATAGACAAATGATAGTTATATTTAAATATCATTTGTCTCATAAACAGACCCAAAAATATATTTTTAATATAAGAGCTAATTGGATATTGAATTTGATTCCAAGTATAAGATCTCAATCCACTTTATTTTCTAAATTTATAATTTTTTTTAAAATATCGCTATTAATTGTAAAAAAAATTTCACTAAAAGATAGTTTCAGTACACATAATTAGAAATTTTAACACACTTAAATTTTTTAATCTTTCTAAATTAATTATATTGCTCTTATATTAAAAACCTCAGTTGAAAATTATTATTAAGGAAGTGTTTGGATGAAATCAAATCATGGTTTAAAAAATAATTTCTAGAGAATAGATTCCTAGAAAAATAGATTTTTGTAAAAACGTAATTCTGATAAAGTGAGAGTGTTTGGATAGTTATTATCAGAAGCACTTTTTATATATGCAAATTACTAAAAAAGACATAAGTTAATATGATAATTACATAAACGATAGATTTTATAATATATTTTAATTTGAAGAAATAAAATTATTAATAATATATTTTTTTACCAACATGATTAATAATATATAATATAATGTAATTAATAATTAATTAATATGTGTATATATAATTATATATTATAAAATATATAATTAAATATGTTTATAAAAAAATAATTGATGGGTGTTAAAGTCATATTATCATTGAGATCTATTCTGACAGGCACAATCATACTCTTCAATTTGATCTAAGGGCTGTTTGGGTAGAAACTAAACTGTAGTTTTAAAAGTGTTTTTATGGTATACAATGTAAATATATGAAGGAGTTTGTCTCATTTTATAAAAAAGTATTTCTAAAAAGTACTTTTAGATGCTTCCAAACACCTTTCAAGAAGTAGAATGAATTTACTTATTCTGACCCATGATTTTAGTCGAAAATTATGGTTTCTACGTTTTTCCCGGTGTTTCGTAATTTTTGTGCCCACATCATGGTTTGGATGGTCTGGGCAGTTAACCAAACAGGGCTTAAAAGGAACGCAAAGAACAAGGAGTACCCAGTCCAAAAGAACAAAAGGGAAAGGGAGGGAAACAAAAACTATATGGGCTGACAAAACAGTGTAATCATGTAATAGTAGTAGGCCCACTTTAGACATGACATGTTCTACTTTCCCCAACAGGAGCACCAAAGCAACGACCAAATAAGTTCCACCATGTGCACACAAATTGATTCTCGCAATTTTTTGGGGCATAGAAGTCATACTCAGCAATTTTTTTGGCCATTTAAACAGTCATAATGTGTATGGATAAGTATTGATTCTGATAGAAGGGATTTTTATTGTTTAAACACAAGGTTTTAAGTTGATTCTGTGTAAATAGAGACGACATCTTTAGAAAATTTATCTCTAATTAAATCAGACAATAATCAAATCAGACCCAATCAGTTAGCCATATAAGACAAAAGGACAAAAATGTACTTTTAATTTTTTAAATTTATTTAATGTTTCGGTTTTGTTCCTTAACTTTAAAAATTCTATTTTAAGTCATTTAGTTTTAAAATCAATAACAAAAAAAATAATGATATTAAGATCTTAAATATTAATAAAATATTCTCAAATACGAGTAATATATTAAATTTACTTTTCAAAACAACTATACTTGTTTTTTTAAAAAAAAAGTTATCATTTAAAACTAACAATTTATTTATAGTTAAAAAATTAAGAATATGGCAAAGAAATTTTATGTTATATATGGTAATCTTTCTTATATTTGGATTCTATGAGAAACTTACATATAAAAATCCTTTTATTAAAATTTGGAATTCTAATATGTTTGCTATTTTTCTTTTTTTGAATAAGTAGATTTTGAATCTCTATTTTCTTAAAAAAATAAATAGAAATAGAATAGAAATTATATTGCTATAATATGAAATTAATTTTTATTTTTTGTTATATAGTTTTTAAAATTAAGAGATCAAATTAAAATATTGTATAGAATTAAATGAATAAGCGTATATTTTTATTAAAAAAATAATAATCTGTCTTTCCAAAATTATAGCTGACTTAAATTAATATTTTAACCCCCACAACCTGAATAACTATTTTTATAAAGCTAGCTTTCAACTTCGGCTCTCAATTACATTCCTCTTTTAGACTCCTACGCACTTGCTTTTTGAAAAATTTTTCAAAGCACGATGTCCTCTTTCAACACACTGCTCAATGATGGGCTGAATCATAAGTGCTTTCTTCTTCATACATATTCTAAACAACAACCTTTTATTGACAGAAATAAAATAAACGGAACCAAAATAAAGAAGACTTGCAATCACTTTATTAGCAATAAACTTTCTGCTGCTTTTATTGCATTGATTTTTATTTATTTACATGGTATCTAATCTAAATTAAATAATTGGTTTCGATGGAAGAAGTCCCCCCACCCAAATTACAGTAGTTAATTAGTTCTTTTAATGGACCCATATGATTGTAAGTGATGAACCAAGATTGATTCGTCTCCATTATCAAAGTTAATTTTTATATGCTTTATACTCCTCCAATAATAAATATAAGACTCATTTTACAGTATGATTTATACTACGAAATAGGTTTTATATTCAGAACTGGAGGGTACATTGTTTTAAAAAAAAATATGTTCAAGACAAAAATAAAAAATAACTTTAAAAATTTTATGAATTATTAGCGTCACTTATCAATAAGAATAGAGCTTTTTAATATGAAAAAGAATCACTTGGGTAGAAGGAATGTGAGTAGAAGACACTTTTATCTTCGCACTGATTGGTCTAATTAGTTGCGCAGGAGCTAGGTCAAATTCAAGAACACTTATTTTATTTGAGTACTCTTCGTCTTTATATAGAACTTAACTGTTAAGTTAATTTTAGTTCTAAATATAAGACATACTTCTCATATTTATCAATTTTTCTAAATTACCGCTACAGATATTTCTCCCACCATAATCAAGTGAGTGAGGGAGGGAAAATATTAAAAAAATGATTATGGATGTTTTAAAAAAAAATGTCATATTTCTTATAATTAACTAACTTACCTAACTTTCTTAATCTAATCAAACTAGTTAAATAGATCTTATATTAGGAATCGGAGGAGTAATAATTAAGCATCTGTTGGCTAAATAGATTTATCAAGTTCTGAATCAATCTTATTATCTAAATTATACCTAACAATGAGTAGATTTGATCGATTAGGTATTTAGGTTGACTTTCGAAGCAGTGGGAGGAATTGCAAGTTTTCTAACTCTCTATAGTCCTAGTGATAATTTGATTTTTTTAATGAGACTACATTCTTTCTAGTTATGATATATTAATATTAATTATTATAAATAAATAATTTAACTAATTTTTTTAATTTTTATAAATTAATTCCCTGGCTTTTACCTCAATGACTGAAAGTAGTATAAATCTATCATCAAATGATCAAATTAGTATTTCTATAAACCACGTTCATTTTCTTCAAATTTAAACATGCCCCTACAATTTCATATGTTACACTACCTCCCATTTTTAATATAAGAGTTAGTTGACTAATTTGGGTACATTAAAAGAATTAGTTAGGTTAATTATTTATAATAAATAAGTATTGTCTTTCCTAAAATATTCTTATTAATTATGTATATTAGCTAGAAATACTATTTGATGAAACATTTAATATGTGCAAATACTGTAAAGACTATTTTTTTAAAAAATGAATAAATATAAAAAACAAAATGAATCAAAATCTTATATTTAATACATTAAATGTCAAATTAGTTCTTATATTAAAGACCAGGTAGTGTATTGATTTAGCATGTATCATGAATTTATAATATTTTAGTAAACTTGATCTAAAATTGACTTTCACCAACATTATTGTGTCTCCTTTTCTGATTAAAACCAGTCACTGCAGTGCCAAACTCTACCTAACTATAAAAGTTTAGAATCAAATACAGTCAATTAATTGCTATGTTTTAGAACAAATATATCTTATATATACCCCCCACACACATCTAATTAGCAAAATATTAATTCTCTTACAAAGTAATATATAAATGTATTTTTTATATGAAGGGACATACACTAATAGCTTAAAATTATAAGTGGGATTACATCTATAACCTTTCATTCATATGCCTTAATTTCAAAAATTAATTTGCTTTTCAATCACAAAAATAATAAGGACAATCTTGATGTTTGGTGAGAAAAATAATGATGAAATTTGTCATTATTTAATAAATACAATTTATAAGAGAAAGCAATTTAAATGAATGCTATATTTATAATTGTCTAATACATAACTCGAATGAAAATAGTACTATTATTTTGGTAGACATGAATTAGTAATACCTATTGATTATTGACTGATTTTCCCCAAACATTGAATTAAAAGATCAAATTGTGATCCATGCCATACCAAACAAATCAAGAACTCTGATCAAAACCGGTCAACAAACCTATTTATAACAGTACTTGTTCAATAGTACTGTTTTCCTCCCTTATTTTGATCAGTTATTAATTGAAATTTTATTAATAACCATCAATAAAATTACTCCTCTATCATTTAATAAACCAATCATTTTTGCTTAACACCCACACAAACTCAACATAAATCTTCCCTTGTTAGGAAATAGCAGCTTTAGCACGATATTGAGCTGTTATTAATTTTTTTTTAATATTTGATTTACTACACAATCAATGATTCTCTTTTTCCTTGTTAAAAATTTTTATTTTTGAATTAAAAATACAAAGAAATTAGAATATCTAAATATAATATGAATAATCCAAATGGTCTGTTTCTTTGTTGATGGTAACATTATAGTAGCTTAGTTTATATGACCTTTATAGCATCGCCCTTATGCACTACTATTATCCTACGTTCTTTTTTTATTTTGAAATTAATTTACCCATTTACTTAAAAGGTCCAAAAAATTTTGCAAATACAAAATATCATTTTTCTAATCACGACATATAAGCAGACTCGTCCTAATCAAACAGGAAAAAATCCAAACAATAATCAAAATAATAAATTAAATAATAGAAGCTATAACAATTTAAATTTAAAATATTTATATAATTTAATTTCAAATTCCTTGCACTCATGAAAACTATGTCTGATTTTATAAAAGATTCCAAGCTAGTATTGTTACAGTATTTTAATAATTACTAATTATGTATTGAATTGATTGAATAACACAATATTTGATTTAATTAATTCTAAATACGGTAACTAGCAACTGTCGCAGTCAGGTGAGCTAAGTATGGGGCCCCGGCCGACCCCACGAGGGACCAGAGAGGATGATTTCCACGTCATGGCTGTGTCGGTAGCAAATGGTGCCAAAACCGTAATTAACACCCAAAACCAGTGGCAAAACACGGATGCTGGAGCCCCTGTGACGTTTTCTTTTCTTTTTTATTTTCGCCCACCCCGACGTTTACGTGGATTGCTCTAGCCCGATACATTAATCATAGGAAAAATTTCAAGCAAAAAAATAATAGGAAAAATTGATTAAAAAAATTCTTGTTTAAAAATTTAATTAACTAAAAAACCTGAATTTGAGCTAATAAATTATAATTTGTGAGTGTGCAACATATTTTTTTACTATGTATAACATATCATCAATCAATGATGTGTAATAACTATTAATATGAAAATCATTTACACATAGTAAAAATATATTACGCTTACGGATCATAATTGCATTTGTTCAAATTCAGATTTTTTTATCCAATCAAATTTTTAAACAGAGATATTTTACCAATTTTTCCTTTATAAAATTAAGGATTTCTGATTTAAAAAAAGGGTTTATATTTTCTATTAATTTTACAGTTTTTAAATAATTTTTTGGTAAAATATTTTCTGGAAAAAAATTAAATAGAAAGTCTTCATATTTTTATCTGATTTTTAATAAGATCATTATTTTTTTTTATCAAGTTATTATTGTTTATCCAAATTTTTAATTTGGTCTTTGTAGGCCCCCCAGTTTTACACTTTTACTTATTTTTAATCAAGCCTCTCCACAAAGATTTTATTTAAAAAAAAAAATGATGTGAAACTACAAAAATTTGATTAAAAAAACTATATGACCTAATTAAAAATAGGATAAAATTATAAGAACATGATTAAAAAAAATGACAAAAAAAGCTGAAAATTTATAAATGCTAAATAAGTAATGTTAATAAAAATTTGTTGTCATTTACAAATTTAATATTATCAACACCAAATGAAGTGTTGTTGCTAAACTTGATTTGGTATTTAGTAATTTTCAGCTTTTTTTTTTCATTCTTCCTAAAAAAACTACAAGAATTTAATTAAAAATTAAATAAAATTAATTTTTTAAATGTTTTTAATACTAACTCTGGTCTTAATATAACAGCTAGTTGACTAATTTGAATAGATTAAAAAAGTTAGTTATTTGTAACAAATATGTGTTATCTTTCCTAAAACATTTTTATTAGTTAGGTGTATTGGATAAATTACTATTATTATAAGGACTATTTTAAAACATATACATAAATATAAGATAAACAATAAATGAAGATTTCATATTAAATGAATTTTTATATTAACCATGAGATAGTACTACCTCCGGTCTCATTATAAGAGCCAGTTGACTAATTTGAAAGATTAAAAAATAAGTTAAATTAGTTATTTGTAATAAATATGTGTTATCTTTTTTAAAATATTCTCACTAATCAATTGTATTGATTAAAACTATAATTATTAAAAGGACTATTTTAAAAAAATTATATAAATATAATAGATAAAATATATTAGAGTTTTATATCTAGGATAAGAGGTGATAGTATTTTAGTATTGAAAATGATAGCTATTAGCCAAGACACATGCTTGCATCACCAATTTCCCGCGGCTTCGATCACGGCTTTGGTTTGGTTTTGGCTTTTCTTCCTTCAAACACGCGCATACAGTCTCTCACTCTCTCCATCACTCAAAAGAATTTCCAAATAATTTTCCAGAGACATTTGATTTGATTTGGTTTCTCTTTTTCTTCCCCGAGACAATTGATTTCACTGTGCCTGGAGAATTTCGATCCCCGTGAACTCCATTTTGCTCGACAAAGTACAAAAGGATAAATGCTCCATTTCTCCTCTCTCTCTCTCTCTCTCTCGTCTTTTCTCGTCTCGCAGTGAGCCAGTGAAGCATCAGATCTTTCCCGCCGGTTCGATCCTGAGAAGGACAAAGAGGAGGAGAAGCCATCGGATAGAGTAATGGAATCGAGAGGATGAAGTTCTACATATCGGCGAAGGGGATAAAGAGAGTGATCGCGATATCAAACAGCGGTGGAGGAGGAGCCGGAAAAGGATTGGCGAAGACTAGTACGGCGGCGACGGCGCCTGCTGCAGGAGGTCGCCGGATTTCCGCCGGGGCTTTCCTGCCGGCGGTGCTGTTACTCGGCATCGTCCTGCCGTTTCTCTTTGTCAGAATCGCGTTCTTGGTGCTCGAATCTGCTGCAGTTTGCTCGTCGTTAGGTAATTCAAATCTTGCGTTTATTCTTCAGTTTCTGTTTCTTGCTTCGTATTGCTTTTTCTGCGCTTTTGAAATTAAATACTTTGGTCTTCAAATCTTTTACTCTATAATTTAATTTTTTTGGTTTTTTTATCGAGTATCTTGAATCGCATGAAAATTAAACTGGTAAAGTTGGGCAATGGCATTAAGAAGAAACGGAAAATCGGAAGTTCAGTCCCAAGAAAGTACTGGAGCCAGAGACGTATAACGAAATTTCAGTGAGACGTCGTCACTCGTTATTTTCACGCATTCTGGTTTCTGAATTAGTTCATGCTTGCTATACTTGCTATGTTTCTAATTAGATTAAAAAAGTACTTTTAAATGGACTTATCTATACAAGATAAAAAAGAATCATTAAAAATTAGGTTGTCTGGTTGAAATTTTTTTAGAAGTTTTTTAACTGCATTAGTGGAAATGATAAATTGCAGATTGTGTACGATGGAGGTTTTTGGGCGAGAGTGACACGTCTCTGGTATGTATATTGTGACCCTCAACTACAAGATTACCTTTACATCTTTTTTATAACCTATATAATTGAAAAGAGAAAAGAGAATGATAATTTGATCCCAAAATATTAAATTAAAAATTAAGATCTAAACTTACTACCTCCGGTTCTAATTATAAAGGTTAGTTGACTAATTTAAGGAGATTAAGAAAAAAAGTTAATTTAGTTATTTGTAATAAATAGGTATTGTCTTTCCTAAAATATCTTTATTAATTAAGTGTGTTGGTTAGAATTATCATTGTTAGAAGAACTACCTTGGAAAAAAATATATAAATATGAGAGACAAAATGGATTAGGGTCTTATATTTAGGACCAAAATAAAAGTCAAACATAATATTATATTAAAGACCGGAGATAGTATTTAGAAAGTTTTCACTATAAATTTATTCTTAAAGTTTAAAATCATCAAAACAAATTTGTATCTTAGCTCATAAATTAATTATAATTAGTTTTTTTTTTTTACAAAAGCTACTCTAAAATCAATTGGGAATAAAAATTTAGGCCATTATAAATTTAAAATCTCTTTTGTAAATTAGGCATGCCTGTTTTAAATATAGTTGTCAATTTACAGCTAAGATTTTCGCTTGCAACACTTTCTACTGATATTGACAAAGTATTTTTAAAAAAAATTGTTGAGAATATAGCGATCATTAAATCAATATTTTGGGACATAGCTAGCCTGTCATTCTCCTATTAATTAATATGAAAAGGGTGACAACAGAAAAAATAATACGAAAAAAAAATGTCTCTCAATGTCTATGAGAAGACATGTTTATTATTTATTTCGGACATACATAATACGTTTGGTATTTAATGAGACATCACGCTAATATTAATACAAAATATGAAATTTATACAAATTACATTGTTCACAATAAATTACAAATAACACGATTTTTGTGTTTGAAAAAGTGCATGGTTTACACTTTTGCTGGCCCAAAAAAAAAAAACCATGATATAAGTTATACGGATATTGGTGTTGCATTGTATGGATAAAAAGTGTAATATAATTTTGATCGTTTAGCTTTATATATATGATTTCATTTTAGTTTCTAAATTTTTATTAAAGGTTTCTTCCATTTCTATCACCAACACCGTAGTTCTATAAAATTGGAAGACAAAAATAAAACCTTATATATCAAGTTAGACGATTAAATATGTATTTTTATTTTCGCTTTAGTACTATGAGCCTTCTCTGAGTCATGGACTGGTGGCGTTAATTAAGTAATCAATTTATATATTGAATTTTTATTTTAGTGTGCAATTTCTTCTCCAGGTAAAGTTAAAAGGGAAAAAAAAAAGGCAATATATAGTATATGATATCGAGTTCACTTTAAAATCTGATTCTGTTTTCATCGCATTGGAACCCATTTATTTTATCCAATAATCCACACCTGTGCCTGAAGAGTATGGTCACATTTTCATCGCGTGAACTTATTCTTTTTCTTTTGTTTTTCCCCCCTTTATAATATATTTTCTTTTTTTCCTTTGTGTTCATATTTCCGAACTTCAACATCCCTAACTCATCTTAAGACAAATGTTGGCAAATACTATCATTCATAATTCTATGTACTTAGCGTTTACTTCAAGTAGTGAAATATCAATTTAATACATGTACGTAAATCATGATTAAGAGACTGGTTTTATTTATTCACATAATTTATATGTAATTAGTGTGGTGTGTGTGTGTGTGTGAGCGTTGGCAAAAGCAAGTGTGATATATATGTGATCAATATCTTAATTTGAAAGTTTTCAATCAAACATGTTAAGTGTATAGTCTTTTAATTAAATCATAAATATGTCACTGAATATTATATACCTTTAATTAAAAAATTTATCAATTTATCAATAATCAATAATTATATTTTTTAAAAAAGTTATATATAAATCGAAACTTTGGAATATATTGGATACATCAATGACTTGTCAAATTTTGTCCATTACTCAACTTGAGGAGTCACAGTTGCATCGAATTTTGTTAAGGTTTGCTCTGCGCTTACGGAATATTACTGAAGCAAGACAAAAATAATAAGACGGCACGGAAAAGAATAGGTAGAACAGCTCGATCAGCATAATGCACAATAATCTAAAAAATTAATAGTCATGTCATGTTTATCTAATTATAAATACTTTTTGTTAGTCATTGGTCGTTTTCTTCTTCGTTCTTTATCTAAACCTTGTCATTTTTTAATTGGTTAAAAGCTTATTTTTAATATAATCATTGTCAAAAATATAATTATTGTCCATTCACTGTTAATATAAACCTAGCCACTGTATGTGGGTTTAAAAGGCTAATTATGTAAAGAATTTCTTTGGGTCAATTTTCCCTAAAACCATAATGTTATACACTAATCCACTAGCCGAGGTCAAAGTGGTAACTGGCAACGATGGAAGGGCGACAGTATAATTTAACCACGAATATGCTAAATAACTTTTCTATGAAATTTGCGCTCGTCAATTGATGATGATTTGGTGAAACAGGTAATAAATAGTAGGATTTAAATTTCAATAATTCCCTTTTCTTTTTTTTGATAGCATGGTTATTGATTCTATGCATGTACTTATCTTAAGAAACTCAGAGATGAGCTGATCAGAGCGCTGCTAGAGGCGAACGACGGTACTGTAAGTGAAGAGGGAGCTGAGTCGTTCAATGACCTTGTGAAACAGTTGGGGGCCTCTAAACGGCAAGACCTGGAGGCATTCGCTTTCAAGATCAAGGCCACGGTGCGTATATATAACTTTGAGAAGGTTTAAGTAAACAGCTTATTGGTTTCGTGAACCAGGCAACTGGTTGCATGAAAAGTGACTGCGAAAATTCAAGATTCTTTCAGTTCTTTCGAGCAGCACTAGGAAAATATCGGGCCAAGTTTCTTTTCAAGTCTTTTGGTTTTAGTTTGTCCATGCGCATATAAAAGTGGGTAGGCCTAATTTATGTAGACCAGGACATTCGAGGACCGTTTCACCTAGAGAGAAAAATATCTTATTGATATGTGCACATTTCAAAGTCTTCTCCTATATTGACTCCGTTTCAATCCATCCTGTTCTAACACATGATATTATTCTGATCATCACTTGCAGCTATCAAGAATGGAACGCAAGGTGCAATCAGCAAGACATATGGAATCAGTTTACTGGCATCTAGCTTCACATGGTGTTCCCAATGGCCTAAACTGTCTATGCCTCAAGTTAGCTGAAGAATACTCTGTAAATGCCATGGCCCGATCTCGCCTACCTCCGGCTGAATTTGTGTCTCGGCTTTTTGATCCTACCCTTCACCACGTTGTTCTCCTAACTGACAATCTCCTTGCTGCTTCTGTTGTGGTCACCTCTACCGTTGAAAACTCTGCTAACCCTGAAAATTTAGTCTTTCACATACTCACCGATAAGAAAACTTACACTTCCATGCATGCATGGTTTGCCACCAACTCTGTGAAATCAGCAATAGTGGAAGTTAGGGGATTGCACCAATATGACTGGTCCGAAGAAGTTAATGCAGGTGTCGAGGAGATTCTGGAGACTAATCAATTGATTTGGAAGAACTATTACAAGAATATTGAAGACAGGGAATTCAACCATAATGATCAAGAGCAAAGCAGGTTCATGGAGTTTCCGAGGCCCAACAGCCTCTCCTTGATGAATCATCTTCGCATTTATCTCCCTGAGGTAAATAGTTACTTTTTGATTTAAAGTATCTCTTAACTTAGATCTTTAGGGCTCAAGTTTGGTAAAAGTGTTCTGATTAATGCAAGCCCGATGAACTCTTGATGATAGTTTTTTCATGATTTGATTTTTGTGGTCCGTCACAGCTGTTTCCAGACCTGAACAAAGTAATATTTTTGGATGACGATGTTGTGGTGCAACGTGACATATCTTCTTTGTGGAAACTAGATCTTAATGGCAAAGTCTCTGGTTCGGTTTTCAAGTCATCCGGGGCAGAAACCGTTTTCCCTGGAAGTAAATACATTAACTACTTGAACTTCTCCCATCCTCTCATATCATCCAACTTCGATCGTGATCAAAGCGTATGGCTCTACGGCATGAATATATTTGATCTTGAAGCTTGGAGGAGATCGAATATCACTGAGACTTACTTTCAATGGTTGAGACTTGTAAGTATATCTGGATGCACTTGATTAAGTTTTTAGCTTCAAAATTCTGCAATAAAACGGGTTTTGGTAACTTCTATGTGGCACAATTCTTGAGGAAGCCCTATAGTATTGAATGAGTAGTCTGAATAGTCCATGGTTCTGAATTTCATATCTCTTGCATGTTTAATATCACTGCGAGCTGGTTTGTGTTTGTAAACCATGCAGGACAGATTTCAGTTTGTTGAAATCTTGTAGACTTAGATAGTGCTAGAATATTATTTGGTGTGACTCTCGTATGAGTAGTACTTGCTGGGGAATAATAAAACTATTCATGTCTCTCAACTAAATAATACCTTAGGCTTCGGGTTGAAGGTTGTTGGCCTGCGGATTATAAAAATAAATTGGCAGTACTCTTTCTATTGTGCCATGAAATTACATTCTGAAACTTTTGATTTCACAGAACCTCAAATCTGGGTTATCATTATGGAAACCAGGAGTGCTTCCACCTTCCGTGATTGCTTTTGAGGGTCAAGTGCATCCCATAGATTCATCATGGCTTGTGACTGACTTAGGCTACCACTATCAATCCGAAGAAATAAGTCCAGATAGATTGGAAAATGCTGCCGTAATTCATTTCAGCGGCCCTGCAAAGCCATGGCTTGAAATTGGCTTCCCAAAAGTGCGGAGTTTATGGAACAGATATGTAAATTTCTCTGACAAATTCATCAGGAGATGTGGAATTACACACTGAATCAACACAGTTCTGCTACTTTCTTGTAGTCCTGACATTTCCAAATGAACACAAGGTAGGTATATTTTGTGTTCACCTAGAGAAAGCAGAACCTTGAGACCTGGAGACGAACTAGAGCCAATCCTTTGGGATTCATTTGGACAAAATGCGTATGGGATCTGAGGGAAGAAGGTTTTGCCTTCAGTCTCTGACTTATACGCTCTGCACAGCATATATATAATATTGTCAGATATTTCCATATGCATATATGTACAGTTCACAGTCATATATAGATGAAACTCCCACTGATCAGTAGCCATATTAGAAACAGCATATGCTGTTAAGAATTATGAGATCCATCTACAAGCATCTTGATTTTTTCTCTCCGGGCACAGATTTTATAAAATTAGTAATTGTAATTTTTGTTATTGTATTGCTGTAAATTACCTGCTTAAAAATCTTCTGTATGGAAAATTATTCTACTGGTATAGTATCTGCTAATTCTTTTAATTTGGTACAATAATTCCTTGCTTTGGTATGAATATTTTACTTGTATCAGCTGTATAACAATAAATAGTTTTTAGATGCGTTATCTGCAGTTTAATACTTGATAACAGAAGCTTTTTCTATTTGGAGAAATTGTTTTATGCTTTTATATAGCATTTAATTCTGTTAAATGTAAATTATTTCATTGTTTGGATTGAAATTTTTATAGCAACATAGCTCAGAATCTCCTTATAAATATAGACAAAATTTTTAAGTGAATACCTTTTAGGAAAGAGTGCGAATTCATACATATGCGCGCGAATTCATATATATATATATATATATATATATATATATATATATGATTTGGGAAATCTTTAAGTAGATATCAAACTCAGCATATTTTTCTCGTACAATAAACAGAGCAAAGAAAGCATCAGCGGCATGGTCAATAAATAAAATACCTCTTGTGAAATTAAATTTATACAAAAAGTTAATCTTAGATATTTCTTTAAATTATTTATGGATGAGCATGTAAATGACAAACCTAGCTGGTATGACGTATTAATATTTAGAAATCTAGCATATCAGCCCTTATGTACCGGCCAGATTATTCATTTGATTAGTAAATTATTACCTCCTGTCCTTAATATAAGATCTCGTTTGACTTTTATTTTGGTCCTAAATATGAGACTCCAATCCACTTTGTCTCTAATATTTATGCTTTTTTTTTTCAAGATAGTCCTTCTAATAATGGTATTTCTAGCCAATTCACTTGATAGTAAGAATATTTTAGGAAAGACAACGTCTATTTATTACAAATAACTAACTTAACTTGTTTTCTTAATCTCCTCAAATTAGTCAACCAGCTCTTATAATTAGAACCGGAAGTAGTATATACTTTCACATCATGTTACCCCTTCAAACACGCATTTCTTGTTTGTAGCAAGGAATGAGATAAAAACTAGGTCTTGATCATTCAAAGAAAAAAAAAACGACATAATAAAACAATATATATTTTTAAATATAATTACATATGATATATGAAGATAGGGGCCAATAAAATGCTGGTATTGTTTTGCTAGTTCAGAAAGTAATTAATAATGGAAATTCTAATTGATCAAAGGCACTCGTTTGGAAAACTGATTCCATTTGAGTGGTTCTCCAGTTTAGACCCTAATTGCAGATTATCCAGATTGATCAAAATGAAGCTTGTGAAACAATTTCCAATAATCTTTCCTCTCATCTATCAGCTACCTGAGCATCCAAAATAAAATAAAATAAGTAAATAGTTATCAGAAGAGAACATAAAAAAAAAAAAAAAGGTTTATATCATGCAGGAGAAGTTATAAAGCAAAGTCATGAACTATAATAAGTAAATGGTCTTCCCCAACAATTCCCCCATGAAAACCCTAATTTTACTCAGAAGTATACAAACTGCAGCCAATACACCAATTTGAATCCATTAAATTGCACTTCACTTGAAGTATACAAAGTGTTATAAACACCCCAAAAAAAGATCTCATTTCTGCGGGCCAACATCATCAGAACTGTAGGGCTTACTTTTTTTGTGTCTATCTTCCGTTTCAATTTGAAATTAAATAATGTACACGCACATTGCATAAAGAGCAGGGTCAATTGTTGAATGTGTTCTCTTGTGCATTTAGCATATAAAAGTCAATCAGGCCAAAAATATAATAGTGCTTTCAATCCTAAATGTGGGAGCTATAAGGAGGGATTTAATTTCAATCCTAAATATGGGAGCTATAATGAGGGATTTGCTTTCATCCTATCTGTAATATCTGATCAATCCGTTTTGTTTATCAAATTTATAATTTTTTCCCAAATGTCTATCTCTGTTGTTTTCTCATATTAAAGGGTTTCCATCAATAAAATAGTTTCCAATGCAAATTATTAAAAGGAATATTTTAGGAAACTAATTCGTATTTTTTAACATCTAACTAATTTTTTTAATCTCTATAAATTAGTTATTCAGCTATTACATTTGTTTATAAAAAGAGTGAAAACAAAGCCATCAATTCACAGTTTAGTTGATTAAAAGATGGGAAATTCACGGTTAATTGACTACTTACACAAGCTGGAGAGCAGTGTGATCTTGACGAGAAGAATAATGATGATTATTAGAAGCCAAGAGATTTACAGGGAAGAAGTTGCGATCATAAGATTGTGTGGGGATGGACTCACACACACTTCCCTGTTGCTGCTGCTGCATCACACTTGATTGCTGCTGCTCCTGCTGCTGTGCTCTCTCCTGTTCTGCAATCTGCATTACATCCATCATCGTCAACACTTCAACTCCATAAATATTAATTCTATCAGCTCACACATATGCATATTAGATAGTATTGGATTCGGTTTCTCTCTTCATCTTTTGATCATGTTTCTTTCTAAGTGCACGCAAAGCACGTTGTGTACATGAAAAGGGTTAGTTAGAATAATGACTAATCCGGACTAAGTCGGATGGGACCCCTGCGAGCATTAAGCTCTCCCAATAAGTATTTAATGCAGCTCCGTATATGCTCAAGACTCAAACATAAGACCTTTGGTTAAACTTGCCCACTCTCTTATATCATCTTTTGATAGTTTTTTCCAGATGAGTCCCATCAAGATGCACACAATATATGCATGTTTTATATTCATTTAGAAGGGACAAGACCCTTGATGTGAAGCCAACATGGAATCCATAGCGTTATTTATATATAGTAGGGAGGGAGAGACCTTTGCTCGTAGATAATTGTTGTGGTTTTGAAGCTCCATCTCCTGCAATATAACGGTAATAAGTACATTTAGAAGAGGATTACCTATATATAATACAGTTATAATTGCACTATGAAGAGATATAAGGTTATGTTTGGTATATATGCATATGTCTCTAAAACTTTCAGCAAAAGAGTGGGGAAAAAATCTAATCAAGAATATATGTTTGGTGCAGGTTCTATTTTAATATACTTCTCTGATGAAAGTATTATTTTTCATTAATCAACTTAACTTTTCGCACAAGCTGGGCAACTTATTATATTCTTTCTATTAATACTTACTATTCTCTAAATTCTAAATGCATTAATTCTGTTAATTGTAAGGGCATTTTATTAATTCTTGGACAATATTTCTTGCATTAATTTAATTTCAAAATCCAATATTTCAAAATTGTATCTAGAATGACTGGAAAAGTGGAAACAAGACTAGATATAATTTGATCATTATGAGCAAATCCAAAATCTTTATAGACAGAACCAATCATTAGTTCCCAACCATGGGTCGAATGGAATCCTATACATAAATCAGTTAATAAAGAATAGAAAAGCTTTTATTGTGTCGCTTAAGTTATATAGGAATCATATAAGCAAAAAATCTCAAATATCCTTCATCATGAGACATATAATTGTCACTGTAAATAAGAACCAGAATCCCAACAGTAGTAATCAATATTGACATAATAGAAGTAAGTGAATCGATCAAGTAGCCAAACTCTAAAGAAAGATCATTATTTATAGTCCAAGACCATACATATTGATAGATAGAACTGTTATTGATTTGATGAATAGACAGATCCACCGAAATTAGCTGACAATAATATAATTGATGTATGTGAGAAGCCTATGGCTTACTCTCACTGCACACGCGTAATTAATAGGGAGTGTTTGGATAAAAACCAAACTATAGTTTTAAAAGCGTTTTTATGGTTTACGAAGTAAATATGTGGAGGAGTTTACTTCGTTTTGCGGAAAGAAGCACTTTCAAGGTTGCGAAACACTCCTATAATAGAACTTATGTCTCATATTATATATGTCTAGGATATATATGCACTACATGAAATATAGGATATTATGTATTTATAACATATAATAATACAGTAATACTGATATACTGGTAGTGATAATAGAAAAGAGATAAGCAGGAATAACTAAACAATGAGGATGAAAGAAAGAGTACCCGCTTTTGCATGAACTCCACTTCAGCAAACAATGTTTCGTGCTGAAAAGGAATTAATTTGAGTGGTTAAGTACAAATTCAGTAATGTATTTCACATTTAATATCAGGAACTTTAGAAACTCGTCAATGCAAAGCCGGTGGTATTATATATATTATCATAATTAAAAAAAATGAAATTAAGAAAAATATGTTGAAAGTCCATTAATTCAGAATCATGCATACCTTTCTAGATCTAACTCTGCTTAAACCTTTCTCTAGTCTTCCCTCTAGGTTTTTAAGCTCCTTAAGACTCAAGGAGCTCAGAGCTTCACCCAGAATGTGCCTGCAAATTCAAGTAACAATACTCACTCAATATGTATATATATATATAGAGAGAGAGAGACACACACACACATTTATGTTCCTCAAAATGTCAGACGATCGATGGACAAGAAGAGATGAAGAAAGTGACCTGTTTAGATTCTGAATGTCATGTATCTGCCTTCTTAACTTGGATGATTCTTGCTGATAGAACTAATGTTAATAAACAGATAAAGTAAGTTAGTATGAACAAGAACCTAGGCATATCTTAAATTCTTGAAACTAACATCAATACTTCTAGTTTTAAACTCGTAAATATGTGTTTAAGTGTACGTGCCTGGGTGTTAGCTTCAGCTACAGATTCTGTGTTTGAGGAAGCAGCGCATGCTTTCTTGTACCTTTCAATAGTTGCTCTAACACTGCAATCACACACAACGACTCAATCTTCCATTATTAATGGTACGTGTACACACACAAACAAGAGGGAAAAAAAATTTGCAAAGCAAGATACAGAAACTACATATATAGGCTTACACTTTAATATACACTCAAAAAGTCTACTAAAGAACAACACTTGCATTTGGTCCTATGCGTGTCTGTATTCATATCCCTCTCTCTCTCTCTCTCTCTAGTCTCTCACAGCTAAAATAACCCTTAATTTATTGGGTTGAACACAAACTATATATAAATATCTGTGTCCTCGGAGGAGGCCACAAGTCGCTTGCCCATAACTATATCATAAAGACAGAATATAGCTTGGCTTTATCTCTGTGGATTGAAGCGTAAATAAAGAGTTAGTGTCAGTAGAGCTTTAATGAATCTGAGAAAGTGAATGATGAGATCAGCTGCAACTTGGTACAGGCTTCACATCCCTATGCACAAGAATAAAGCTCAGAATAGATCACAATTTCCTATACTCTTCTTCCTCTCTTTCTTACCTTTCGCTGTTAGGTACTTCTTTCCATTTCCCTATGTTCTTCTTGCCATTTTCACTGTCCCATTCTCTATCAACAAAACAATCTTATTCGATATTTCTATATGTTCCGTTAAATTACAACTTCAACTGTTCTCCATGTAAAGTTTCATGCTTTGTAACGAGCTTTGAATCTGTTGATGAATTCGTACTAAGAAAGAAATTTAAAATTTATGTTATGCTGTGATGAAATGGAATATCAAATATGTGTCTGTCATTTTATATTGTGAAAATGAAACAGCTCTATCTCTGAACTTGTCCGATAAAGCATATTGACGCAAAGTGGTATGATATCTATTATTTTATACAATAAGTGTTACCTTCCCATACGATGAAATTTCCTGAGAGTAGGTGGGTTATTTAATTTACGTCTAGTGTTGGAAACTTTATTCCTACAGATGAAAGCCATAAAAGGCGAGAGAGAAGGATAACTTAAGTATAGATGAGCCTGGAGAGAACTTATCTTTCTCTTTTGCTATTCTTGGAAATATGATATCATGGAGTTCTACTTTTTTCAGCTCGATCATCAAGAAAAAATATGACAGTAGACCCCAATTTATTTGACTTCTTTTGGATCTTTTTATTATTTTTATAGTTATTTTCTGAAAAGTATAGAACTGCATAAGAAATATATAAATACATGAAAAAGGAAGCCATCACCCTCATGTTATGTGTTAGTCGCATGAAGAACTCTATTTTTGGTGAAAATATAATGGGAAATGATTTTGTACTTTTTCGAAATATCTACTTGAACTCAGCTTATGAAAGAATTTAAACCCCAGCTCATACTTGCTGCACAAAAGCACTAAAATAATTCATCGACCCAAACCAGTCCTTGGGCGGAAAGTTTAAGTATGGATAATGAATCAAGAGGAACCCTAGCTAACAAGAAATAGGCAAATCTTGTTGCCATTTCTTTTAAGAAAAAGAAAAACCTATTTTAAAAAAAAAACGGTGGGTTCTTCCCTTCTTGCTCATTTCTGCTTCGTACGGAGGAAGAAAATTTAAGGATGAAGCAGAAAGAGGACTCGTGGTCTTTTTCTTTTTTTTTTTCCCCGGGCCAAGGACTCGTAGTAATTAACCTCTCATTGACATTAATTAACCAGGTAAAATTAATTAATTTGAAATTTTTTACAGTCTCGGCATTGAACTGATCTGCTTCTGTGAGCTTCTTGTGAATCATTTTCTTGCTGATGAGAGGTGAGAGCTAAAATGATAGTACCAAGGAAGTGTCAAGGAATGGAAGAGATTGATGAAAACTCGGGACAGCGTTGTGTTGCAGACTTTGCCAGATTTGATGGTTAGGATGTGGAGATAGAGAGAGGCAAGAGAAATATAGATAGACAGAGAGAGAGTTAGCAAAATGGGAGATGCAAGCCAAGATCTTCAGCCTGCAAAATTTTGGAACCCTAAAAGTTTTAGCTTGTATTTTGAGCTTTTATATTAAAGCTTCCAAAATATAATGATTTACCTTAATGCCTATTTCTATGTAACCTTAGATCTGTTGAATCCCAACAAGCGGGAGGAACCTTACAGGAGAAAGGGAAATACAAACACACCACATAAAATGAATAATTGCATGTACGAACCAGAAAACTCAGAAAAAAGACACAACAAAAATGAAGAAAATTTGCACAACATAAATTATTCAGAAAAGTTACGCGCTTTCTGCTAAACTTAGAACACGTACGGTCTTAAACTTCATAAGCTTCCAGTTAATTAAGGTATTCTAACCAATTTAGTACATATTTTATGTATTTTATTACTTGAGAAGACTAATATATGATGACTTCAATTCAGTACAGATCGAAAAGGTGAAATTGAAACAAAACCGTGCTTTCCCAGGTCGCTCATCAAGTGATGAAGAAAGCAAGAACTTGAGAATATCAAATAGTCGTTCCTTAGGTCTAATTATAGCAGATTTTACCCAGAACAAATTTTTGAAAAGCTCAAAGGAAAATTATAAACCCAGTACTTCAATTTTCTTTCAGAGAATAGAGAAATAAAAGAAGAATATTTAAGATGGATCATACATGTATAAATATAGATAAATAGAGGTATGTGCAGAGGCTGTGATGAAGAGAAAAAGAGAAATTAATGGAGTTATGATCTGAAACGATCGAACCTGTTATTGGCGTACTCGTACAGGCGACCACGGCTAGAGAAGACGACGAGGGCGACTTCAGCATCGCAAAGAACAGACAATTCATAAGCCTTCTTGAGTAAGCCATTACGTCTCTTACAGAAAGTCACTTGCCTATTGGTTGTGTTCTCTATCCTCTTTATCTCTATTTTCCCTCTTCCATTCTTCTTCTGAGAAGAACATGATCCTCCTCCTCCTCCTTCTGCTGCTGCTGCTTGCAGGTTATCTGCAGCAACGTCCATGGCCGGCCACTCAGAGAGAGAGAGAGAGAGAGAGAGAGAGAGAGAGAGATGAAGGAGAGAAATCAAAGAAGAACCAGAAGACCGTGTAAATGTGTATGTTGGTTAATATTTGAAGTTGGTCTGAGGTTTGAAAGAGCTATTTGTAGTGTGGTGTGGTGTGGTGTGGTTATGGTGTCGAAAGGTTAATTGCCGTATATGGAAAGGATGGGTTGGCCAAGAAAGATGAAGACACATATTTATGGCATCGAACAGACGAACACGACGCTTCAACCATCACCCCGACTTTTACTAGCTAGTAATTATATTTAATTATTAACTTGCAGATTATCACAAATTAATTAGACTAATAAATTTAATATTAGTGTTTTTCCTGTTAAATAAAAATTTATTAGATGACCTGATGAGTCTCAAGCTCACTATAAAGATCATGAAGACTTTTATAGCTAAAGTGTAAAAAGATTCAAATCGAAGTTGGATCATTTAACCAATATAATTTTCATCGGGTTAAATTAGTTTTGCATTCAAGAGATAATTAATGATCATTACTTGTAATGATTTTGAACAAAAACCCATCAATATAATGTGGTCCTACTACAAAACTCATGTGATAAGACTTTGTACAAGGTGTCAACAAAAAATTGCTCTGAGATAATGAGTGTCAACGCAGTGTATTTCCACTGTCTAATCTGATAAATTCTTACTGTTAATTAACTAATATATATTATTATATTATTATGTCTATTTAGAAGCTTTTTAAACTAAGTTAACATTTATTAAATTTATCTAATTAATCAAAGAATGGAAAGCTCCACCGCTCCCCCCCCCCACACGCACAGAGAGAGAGAAAGAGAGAGAGAGAGAGCGAAGAGAGGGTTGAAGGAGCGTAAAAGAAGGGTCCAAGTCTTCATGTATGGGAAAAAGGGAAGAGTGAGATGAAAAAGGATGGGTAGTGAGAGTGAAAGTGACTTAGTGAGTGATAATTTTAATTTTATGAGAGAGGATGAGAGTGACCTTCAATCTGTTCTTTCACCCAGAAAGCTTTCAAGTTTTCAACACTGCGAGCAAAACCACAACTACATTTTTGCTTCTTCTGGGATTCTCAGTTCTGGCTTTTACTCTTTCAATTACCCTCCATTTCTTTACTTTTTCTCTTTACGTCCTTTTTCCATATATGTGTTCCGGAATTCATTGCCATTATTCATAGATTTTTACTCCTATCTTGTTAGAAAGATTTTTATAATGTATATATTGAATTTTAAACTCATTAGAGTCAAAACAAGTTTCATGTTTTGAATTATACTTCATCTATTAATAAGATTTTCAGTTCTCACTAGCGGAATTCAGCTCATGCCCTTATAGAGTATCGATCATGTTTTTATGGACTTAATTTTTACTCCCTCTAATTTTGAAGTATAAAAGTTTAATAAACTAATTTTGCAGGTATTAAGAAAATTAGTTAAGTTAATTTTGTGTGAAAAAATGTTGATTTCCCCAACAAAGTATTCATTCTAGTCATTTGAATCGAAAATTACTCCATTGAAAGATTTTGTTAGATATTATAAAATTAGGAGATAAATTAAATTTGGATCTTGCAAATTTAGGATCAAAGAACAAGCTTCTCTACTTACCTTTATAATTAAGATTAGAGCGGGAGTATAATATATCAGCTCGTGCGCTAAAGTGAAATGATCATACCTTGAAACTTGGGTAAAATAAAGTCCAAGTGATAGTAAATCTTTAACAAACTTTCTCCTTAGTAAGAGGCTTTTTATCTTTTTCCCTTTTTACTGCATACATTTAAAAAAAAAAAAGGAAAAATGAAAGAAAAGCATATGTTGATTTTGATAGATTTTAACTTGTTAAAATCATTACAAAAAAAGTAATTAGCTTGATTTATTTTTCTTTTTGAAATTCAACAAACATTTTATTATTATTTTCCCAATGAAAAAAACTAAGCTTTGGTGTTACGTGCTGAATGGGGTTCTCTCACCACGTGACGTCTTGATCATGATCTTCAATTTTGAAATTAATTAAATTAAATTATTAGCTGTAATCCTTTCGGCAATTTATATGCAAGTCACTTTCATTATGTTCATTCCTCTCTCTCTCCCCTCCCATTCCTGTACTTTGATTTTGATGGTCCTGCTGCTAATTTTGAAAATCTTAAATTAACTTTCATTTTAAAGAGTCTTTTCATTAAATGTTTTACATAATGGCCATTATTTGTACCCACAGTTTTAGATGTTCAAAAGTCCTATGGACTCATCATTAGTGGAACATATCTTTTATATATGTTATTTTCTTGTAAATATTTATAAAATGTAATAAGTTTTCATCGTACATTTTTGGGGCCAACATTGATTGTACATTCGTATACTACCTCTTTTTATTTGATGAGGAAAATGCTCAAGTTTTCACAAGATTTCGGAAGAGTGTTACTAAAAGTTTTGTACATTGTACTCAAAACATGCTTATAACTAAAGAATAGTAATCTAGAGTCAAAAGAATGAATTTTGATATGTTGTTTTGGAATTTTGAAATTCTTATTAAACTTCAAGAAGAATTGTGAGTTTACACGAGAATTCGAAACAGTGAAAGTTCATGCATTTCACTTAAAACATGCTTATGACCCAAGAATTAGTAATCGGGGCTTGAATGAATGAATCCATCTTAAAAGGGAGAACTTTTTTTTTTTTAAGGTTACAAGAAACACCACTACAAAGTTTTGTAATAATAAATTATAACGCATAAAATGATAACAAATTTTAACTGCTCACTTGTTATTAAAACTTTTTAGTAATTATATTTATTTTTTAAAATTTCACAACAATTCTTCTATTTTAAAATGTCATTAGGAATTTTGAATTCTTATTAAAGGTGAGGGGATGCATAGACAGTGTTAAACCACTTAGACCAATTACTATTTGGTTAATAATAATAATATTCATGTTATTATTTTAGAATGATTATTTTGAAGGTATACTACGTACTAGATAGGACACTGGTTCATCCATCACAAGTACTATAAATTTTTTCCAGCTATACATAAAATAAAATTGAGGCACGCATAATTGGATGCATTTTTAGCTCAAATTTCACATTATATTTTAAATTATTTTAAAATATATATTCTTTCATTCGTAAGTAATATGAATGTTATGAATTTCTGACGTCATTCACAATTTTTTTGGTGCCATTCTTAATTCAAACCACTACATCCTCCTCATCATTGGACCATATTTAATTTAATGATTTATTATGTTAAATATCAGTTTAATGTCATTTTTCATATAATGAAAATTATTTATTCAAGTTAATACATTTGAGAATAATAATGTTTTCCAAATTAAAAGTCTCTTGCGTGCCGTTATGAGACAGCTTTAATTTGCGTTTGAGGAATAAGAATCATGAACAATTTGTTCTTAACTAAGTCCACATGTTTTATTTGACTAAGTTGCATGAACATTTATTGGTATTCTCAATTCCCACCTATCCATTTGGACAGAGAAATATAAATATAAATATGAATACAAATATATATGGATTAGTGTAAAATATAAATAGTAAGAGGACTATTTTCAGATTTTGTGCGATATATATAGATTATTATTTTTAATACAAGATTTGAGTTTAGTTCTTTAAATTTAAGAAAGCATATTTTTAGCCTTTTAACTTTAAAATCATTAGTTTTAAATGATGATTTTTTGTAACAATTATAATGGTTTTAAAAATTAAACTTAGCATGTTAGCATTTGAGAATGCTTCATTTAATATTCAATATCTTAATATTATTATTTTTTTGTTAACTTTTTTGGTTAAAAGACTAAAAGTATACTTTTTAAGGTTAAAAAATTAAAAATATATTTTAACCTGTTAGTTGTATTAATAAAAATGCGGACATTGAAATTTTAAATGTTAACAAAATATTGATATATTAAGCATACTTTTCTAAAAATAATAATAATAGTTATTTCGAAAAAGTATAATTTGAGACTCTCAATATTACGGTTCGAGGATGAAAACTTACATTATAAAATTAACAAGTTAAATTAAAATCTTCCATAAAATTGGATAATAAAATTAAAGGTGCACTTTGCTTTCACCCAAAAAAAAAAGTTGCACTTTTGCTGCCTAAATATCATCTTTCTCTACTTTTTCCCCTCCATTTATTTTAGTTTGAAACGTAATTCTGGTCTGGACATGTCTTGTAATGTTAAATAAGTTCCTGATTGAGAAAGCAGTCACACATTGTGTTTGAATCTCAATTAACCCCTTTCATTTTCCTTGACAATTATCTTATGCTTTATCTGATTTATTTGTTAATCATGCATCACAATAGTAACTTCCATTAAAGTTTATGTTCCGTCACCTAACCATTAAGTAACTTTATGCTATATTCGGTCTTAAATATAAAACCTAATTTATTAAATCTTTATATTTAATATTGGAAGCAATATAATCAAATTCAGTCACGTTACACATGCACAAGTTAAACCAGTAAGATCAAATACATACGTGTTGCTTATATATAAGCAACTTGTAATAATTAAAAAAATTATATATATATGTGTGTGTGTGTGTGATCGAATAGCATGAAAATGTATTTTCAACGTTCAGCATTCTTTTTGTTAATAATAATATGACAAAGAACTAAAAACATGTTTTATAAAATTAAGAGACAAAAAACCTTATATAAAATTAGCTGACCAAAGATATACTTTTCCATAGCAATAATGCTTGAGAATGTTTCTCTATTTAATGTAAAATGTTCATTTGTATATAAAAAAATTAATATGTATGTGTGATTAAAAACCGCTTTTTTATGTCTCTTTCACAAATTATACATAACCAAATGAGGATTGAATCCAGAAATAATTCAAAATTTCAAATAATATTTTCCGAAAAAATTTCAAATAATCAATCACACAAAAACAAACAGAAAGTTCTGAAATTTCATGTTTGAATCAAAGTCATCCATGAAAACTACTTCGCTCTTAAAT